ACTATACAGGTTGTTGCCGTAGGAGTGGACATCTTGCTGTGCCTCCTCTCTGTGAGCGCGGCCGGGCCGAAGCTGAGGCCTTGGAAGGCACTCAGCAGGTTGAAGCCGTCGTCCTTGGCTCTTTTTTCAGGATGAATGATCTTCGACAGCTCATGGGGGAGCGACACTTTCCCTCCAACAGACCTCAGACGGTTTGTGTCCTTGCGGCTCTAATTATGACAAAAAAACAGAAAAAATAAGAAGAAGAGGGTTAAAAAGTCTGAACATGACGACAAATAAGGACACGATGACCTTAATTCACTCGTTAATACATTACTTACACCCATGTTTCACCAATATACAGCAAAGACAAAAATAACTAATATGTCCACAGCTAAATGTTACACAATTGTACACCAAATCAGGATTATAACTGTTGGGTTCATCGAGTTGTAAATTATTTTTCTATAGCGGGAATAAGTACAATAATCTTGTAAACTACTTAACTAAAACAGTAAGTGCTAAACTACCACAGATACATAACTTTTTCATTTAATATGTTGTTATATTACAAACATTAACGCAGACCTCAGACAGCTGATATTTCTTTCTGAATTGAGCTCTCATCGCTGCTCTCTCTGCGTTCTTCTGAGCGTTCATTGCTTCCCGCTGCTTTCTGTAAACACAGGAAACAAGAACACAAAGACACCTGACATTTTACAGGCAGAAGTAATTAAATCAACTTCTCTGTTGGAGCAGTGACTCAGGTTTAATACTCTTTTCTATGCTAATTAACTCAATTAATTTAAACTGCCTTGTCTAATCAAATCTAAACAAATCTAATGGAGACAGCAGCAGATGATAACATTATGAAAATAACTTTTAATTGTTTCGTATTTTTTCCTTAAGGAGAGGCATGTTTTTTTATTTCTACGTTGTGTGTCCACTTGCCTCTCCTTCTCCAGGTCCTCATTGTACGATTTAAAGATTGACGGGTCTTTGGTTTTGGACTTCTGGAGATGACGGCTCCTCCTCAATCCTCTTCCTCTCCCACCTCTGCTCCACCTGATCCTGGGCTTAGCACACAACCTCCTCTCCTTCACCCCCGACACACAGCTGGACATCATGCTGAGGGGCTTCTTCAGAGACTTTTTCACACTCCTCAAAGACTCCATGATGCCTGTATCTCTGAGGACAGTAGGGGACGACCACACCCTACTTCTCTGACAGACGACGGGTGAATATATAAAGGTTTTCTCCTACACTCATGTTGAGGGTGAACTCAGGACACAAGATCTCATGTCTTGTGGCGGCAAGAAGTTTGAGACCTGCCAAGGACAAGGACAAGGTTTAGACACGAAGACTGAGTGAACACCCTCATACACACATGCAGTGTAACAAATGTTAAATAAAGATTAAGTGTTTTTTTATAGAGAGAGTTACTAAAAGGGAAATATGGTCACTTTAAAGGGACAAAAACAGACAAACGTCAGACTCAAACATAATCTACATATTCCTCCTTCAGACCACTAAATATCCACCCACAACCCAATCAAAATGTCCATCCATCGACAGTTATCTTACCCATGCAGGTGGTCACAGTTGGCCAAAGGCTCACAGAGAAAATCCTGGTAAAGCTCCAGCCAGATGGCCTCCACTGCAACCAGACAATCCCCCGACGCTTTAGAAAAGAATAAAGTAGAAACAAAAAAACTCTCCACTAGAAGTTGTTTTTGTGTTTTGTGACCCTCACTGAAGTAAATCACTGTTTTATTTACCAGGTTTCAGCCTTTGCTTCTCGTCTACACCACGCAACCCTCCTGAACAGACTACCACTTAAGAGGACTTACCGAGGGGAATCTCGTTAGCGTTGGCAGGTAATGAACGACTAACGCCTTTGTGATGAAGATTAAGACGTGAGCTGATGTCATGTTGAGTGACACACACATGGGTCCATAGGCTTGACATCAGCGTTGGTCCTGTGGAATTAGAGTTCTCATGGTGCTGCGTTATCTGCATTTTGTTTTGTATTCTAGAGGAAAAGCAATACATTTAGAAACTGGTCTTTAAACTCAGCCAACCAGAAAGCTATTACACTTCAACAGATTCTTCTCAAGATATGTTCAGTTCCTTTCAAAAGCGTAATCGGTATTTGGCTGAGTGGATATTCAGAGATGAAAGTTTCTGAGAGGAAATGAAACAAAGCGGCTCCTGGAAAGAGCGAGTCTGGCCTGAGACGGCAGCATATAAATCACTGAGAGATAAGAGAGAAGTATTAACAACTGGACCCAAACAATTGAGGAGAGAGTGACAGGTTGAGGTCAGACTCTCCAAAATCTCCATCAAACAACATCATTACAATGCTCAGGCTTCTTCCTTTCAATCCCCCTCTTTTTAACCCTAGTTTATCAATAGTTTCCCTCTAAAAATCCTTATTCATCAATTGTCTGACTTAATCAATTGGTTTTGTTATTGATTAATTGCAGTTTGCAGATGTGTGCCTGTTATTAAAGGGCGAAAAAAGTCAACACTATTTTACTTTAAGTTTGTATAAGTACCACCATATAATAAATGATGTATGTTTTTATGATGGTATTCAATATAGTTGTAAGCTGCTGAAAAACAATCAACAAAATAATGGATAACATCTCCTAAGAAGGATATTTTATTGTAATGTTTTACATAGTTGTCTTTTATTCTAGTTGGTTAAATTAAAATGTAATGAACCATTTAACATGTGTATACAGCTGATGAATGACTGAAGTGTTACCCATGACATATTTTCTGTGTTGTGAATGTCTTTAATTGAGTCCCCTTGGTGAGATTTGTTTTTATGACCTACTCCACTGTCCTATTTAGCACACACATGACCTCTGAATATTTCATCCAACCCACTTCCAGTCCCTCAAGCTCTTGTTTACCTCTTACCCTTTCCTTAAGTTTCTGAAGGTGAGATGAGGACGCTTTAATGCTTTAACAAGATCACAGAGAAAAGCCACGTCTCCTCCAGCTAATGTTCACAGACAGATCTGGGATCAGTTCACTCGAGCAGCGGCCCTGTGTCAGCAGTATTTCTCCACAGGTGGGATAAACCGAGGTCGAGCACATTAACAACCCTACGTCCTAAATATTTAGCTAAGTTGTATTTCTCTGACAAATCACAAACAGAAACCGTACCTAATTGCTGTAAATTATTAACTGACTCATGCTGACACACAGTCACACAGTCACACACACACACACACACACACACACACACACACACACACACACACACACACACACACACACACACACACACACACACACACACACACACACACACGTACCCAGGCGTTGCTAATGCACAAATTAGTTAGTTAATACTAAAAATACTAAATGTACCTCTCATCATAATGACCTGAATACATATAAAACATTTGAATTGATTGCTTTACATAAAACCTATACTGCATGACTATCAGGGGATTCACTCTTGATTTTACATAAGTTGGATACAAAATCTTCCTTTTTCTCATGCGTGTTAAGACCTAACATAAATGAATCTAGAACAATCGGCTGTCAATGTGTTGTTGATCAATTGTACTTAGTATATAATGTTAAACCTTTTGTTTAGTAACTAAGTTGCACGATTGAGAGACAACAAGTAAAAGGGATTAAGTCAATGCATTATCACACATACACACAAAGAGATAATGAATATTATCACACACACACACACCAGAAATAAGGGCCCATTCATTCAAACACACATTGACTGACTAAGTCTCTCATCTCTGCCAAGGCTGGAGAGGAAAACTGGCGAGCACACACTCTCTCAGCCTTGTGACCGTGCTCTCTGCTGAGCTGCACTCCATCAATATGCCTCTGTGTGTCTGTGTGTCTGTGTGTGTGTGTGTGTGTGTGTGTGTGACAAATGTATTAAACTACTGAACAAGTAATTTCATACACATTTTATTGAAAAAGAGACAAACTAAAAATATACTTTCCATTTCTTACGTTTTTGTATCTATATCCTCTAAATTTGAGAGATACTTTAACTTTTATTTTGTTTACATTTTGAAGAAGACTCAATCTACTTGCATGTGAGGATCAGCAGGTTTAAGCCCATTTACTTCCATTCTTGTATATTTATTTCCCGCAAAAAAGATTCCGTAAAAATCAAGTAATGCAAGTTACATTTTTGTTTTGATGAAACACAGTGCCCTTTTTTAAATCAATTTGCACTTAACTGCGTTAAAATGCAACAATATTACATTGAAAAAAAATCACCTTTTAAGAAAGTCTGAAACCGTTTAGCCAGTATCAAAAACTGGTTAGCATTTGAAGGGGTGCAAAACCCTTTAACAATGTTTAATCTTTCTGATAAACAAATGTAACCGTCTTGTATTTCTTTGACTTCTTTCACTAGCAACACTTTTAGCTAACTGCGCCCAAACGGCAGACAAATATGAGCTTAATGGATCATTTAGCAACGAAGGAGTAATATATTTATTTATATTTATTATTATATATTTTCCTTTGGACTGGGTGGAGACCAAAAAGACAGCTTAATGGAACGTGACTTGCAGTGTTTCCAACACTTAAAAAATGTAAGTAGAGAGCATTTGCTGCAAGATGTAGCTGACAGATGACGTACTAGTACTACTATTTGCATATCGGCAACTGAGCATTCGTTGAAGCGAGAGAAGACTTATTGCACACGGAGAGAAAGAGAGAACCCCTTTTAAGTTTGCAGTCGGGCTGTAATTACTAATGACTATTTACCTTAACGGTCAAAATAAATGGTTACTTTTTAGTACACCTTTTAACCTTTCCTGATCTGTAAACAAGATTTATAGTTAAAAAACTACAACTTGCATGCACACTGGTATGATCCTCAGCAGGGGCGGACTGGGACTCAAAATCAGCCCGGGCATCTCGACTGGCCCACTTCTGTACTAATTTACAACTAGTAAATTGTCAACGGGGGGGGGGGGGGTGCTAGTGACTTATCCGACCGGCCCACTTGGGTACCGCTAGTAAATTGTCAACGGGGTGCCGGGGTCCCGAACGTCCCGATGGCCAGTCTGCCACTGGTCCTCGGGGTCTAGGGTCTGTTCAGGGTCGTCTGCTCGTATCACAGCTGTTCCTCCAGACGTGGCTCCGTCCGGAATGAAGGAGAGGCAGGAAGAAGGGGTGAGACAGGGCGGAGGACAGCGAGGTGCGTGTCGATGGCTCGTACTCCAGCATCCTCTCCAAGAGGAAGAAAAACTGGTGGTGCTCTGTCCCGTGTGAGGACAGGTACTTCTGGAAAAGGCATAGAGAGAAACAAGTCATAAGGGTATAAATGTACTTTCCATTTGTAAACCAACAAACTAAAACATTTGTATTGATTATAACCCACGTGATGTTATTTTTCACTGTTGTTTTCAATTATGATTTTTAATAGTTATAATTGACATGCATTATTAATTCATACTGGTCGTTGTTGCTGTAGTATTTACATTTGTATTCCTACTTATTCATGACTTTACATGTTTTATCCAAGTGTCTCCTAAGTGTGTGTCTGATTTTTTTTATCTCTGCACAATCCATATCTTTTTTGTTGCAGCATGTTCTAGGGTAGCTCCACATCATGCCGAAAGGTTGTGCTTCAGTGTGGAATGAAATGTGCTGAACAAAAAAGTGTTAGTTTGCCCCTGCCTCTGCTCACCCTTAATGGTTTGCACTTGGCTTTCACATAGCGCCCGGCCTTGGAGCACTCGTTCCAGTCGAGACGCCCTCGGTGGAAATACTTCTGCTTTCTGTGAAGAAAAAAAAGTGTTTGAAATGAAGTGAATTTTGTTTGCATGTGCGTTTGTGCAGCAGTGAAGAGGAGTGTGTTACCTAGTTTTCTGTATCATACTCTGAGGAAGTGCTCCCTGTATGCTCTCCATCATAGCAAGATGCTCCTTGTTGTCATGAGTCTAAAAGTGAAGATAATCATGTCAAAAAGATACAGAATTAACTATTTTTATCATGCTGTCATTTTACTAATATAATCATACATGTGACCTGGTACAGTGTGAAGCCTGCGTAATATTCAAACAGGATGCAACCGATACTCCACACATCACATGGGTGACTCCAACCCAACTCTGTGGGAGAGGGAACGGACAACACGTTCAAAGATAACTCCTGGGTACTCCCTGATTATTATATTATCCACATCTCTCACCCAGAATGACCTCTGGAGCTCGGTAATGACGCGTAGAGATGACGGTGGAGTGGTGCTCGTGGTCAAAGGTGGCGCTGCCAAAGTCGACCAGCCGCACTGTGGTGTCTTTTATTCTCCGCTCATTACACTTCTGGAGGAAGACAGAAAGGAAACAAGCCAACAGATCTAAAGGACTAAAGTTAAACTGTGCACACATACACTATGCTACAGGAACAGATTTACTACTGTACAAACAATCCAGCTGCTAAACTCGAGCTAATGACATTTGACCAACCTGTACTTCAAGCCTGTATATATGGGAAGCTTTCCTAAGTTAATACATGTAAGTTAAATTGCTCTCTCATCTCACTCTCACCAGGAAAGTGAAAAGGCCCTCAGCATTTTCCCCAAAATGTCTAACTTTTCTTGCATGGCTCACCAGAGGTTTTGTTACAACCTTTAAAATTGATATTTACGCTTATTTCCAGGTTCATATTTGTATGTTGAGCCTCTACTGTGACATGTTTACATGCTTTAATGTTCAAAATGTGTTTTTCCCTCTTTTCCCCAGAGTCTTTCAAGCTATATTGCAGCACTCAAAGATCTCACCAATTACCAAACAGGGTACAGGATTTATAAAAACACATTGTCCCACTTAGTTTAGCAAACACACTCTGGATAAACACAGGATCTGCTGCAAATTTTACATCAAAATGTGCAACAACAAAACTAATTTCAGGTTGCTCTGCCTGCATTTATCCCAGCTTGTTCAACATCCTTATTTTCTCTATCCCCTAAAGGTGCCAGCCTGCAGTTGTGTACCTTCTCAGCGTTGTATATGAAGCTGTAGTCAGAGATCACAAAGAGGATGTTCTCCGGCTTCAGGTCGGTGTGAGTCAGCTTGTTGTCATGGAGAACTGCAGTAGAGAGACAGAGAGGAAGATTACAGTCATCTGTCGAGCCAACTGTCTGAACAGTCTGTCTGAGTTTTTTCTTCACTGAAACAGACGTGATGGATTCGTAGGGGATAATAAATGTCAGTGACAAAGAAAGTGAGACATTTTATCAGACACCCACCCCTGGATGTTTGTCTACCCCTTTAATCTTGTGTGATGATGTAAATCAAAAACACTTCTATCATCTTCAGGTAAACATCTACCTCATCGGTGGGTGACATTGATTTAGCAGCAAGGAGGAAAAGCGGTGCGGTGGGGGGGGGGGGGGGGGGGGTGTGATGCTGCATGCTGCACTCACAGCTGACAGCGTGGCAGATCTGCTGGGCCATGTGTCGGATCTGGTTAATGGGATAAGGCAGGAAGTTGTTTGCCTTCAAGAAGTCGAAGGTGCTGAGAGACAGCAGCTCAAAAGAGATGCACACATGGCCGTAGTAGTCAAACCAGTCCAGCATCCGCACACAGTGACTGATGGGGAAATAAAACAATGAGATCATGTAGATGGATAAGACAGAAAAAGAGTCAAAATGACTAACTACTCACTTTCTGTTGTCTGGATCTCTCTCGCTGATCTTCTCCAGGACATTGATTTCCAGTTTGGCTGCCTCTCTGTATTTATCCAGGTTTTTAATGATCTTCAGAGCAATTTGACTCCCTCCTCTGTGTGTCAAAACAAATCAATGAACGCATGTTGCAGATCTGTCAAGCCTTCTTTATTAGATGAAGCCGGTTACCTGCTGTGGTCCGTGCATTGCACCACCTTCCCAAAGGTCCCCTCACCTAAAGTGTTGACTATCTCATCTGTGAGACAGATTGAGGCGAAATTAAAGCTGGAGCATTTTTACGACGGTTGCCAACACTTCCAAACTGATACCTACATCTGTCTTCCAGGACGTCCCCGCTCCTGTAGATCAGGTGGCCGTTCTCAGTGTCCCTCTCATTGTCGCAATCAGACTCGCTGCTTCTCCGCTGGAAACAAATTCAAATTCATGACGAGTGGAGTAAATATCTGGGCAGAGATCAATCTGCGTCAGTGCCTTTCTACACCGTTCAACTAAAGACTGAAACAGAGTGAGTGGCATTTGACCCTGAATGCCAAAGGTCATCAGGAGGATTTACACTCTGTCATCAGTGATACATTTAAACCTACATGAAGACAAACGTGCACGCAGTGAAACATATTCACATTGAAAGAAGCTTTATGTCGTGTATGTCTTAAAAACGGCTCTAAATTCAGACGCGATACATTTTTTAATCTCCAGTTTTCCAGCTTCTACATTAAGTTTGAGCCTAATGACCCAAGCTTGTTCCAAAGGAGGTTAATAAGAAAAGTCAACTGGCTTCTGCCCTCTTTGGAGGAGCAGAGGCTCTATTTCCATCGGCATTCTGAGACTGTTATTAATATCAGAAGCCCAGCATGTGCTGAGGAGACACTTATGCAGGACACGGGCCACGGAATAGACAGCAAGTGACACATGTAAACAGTCTGCACTGGATTTGTGGAGCTTAAAGAACGAACGATGAGTTCAACCTCACCACATAGTGCGGAGGATTTTCAAAGTCAACCATGATGATACAGAGGTGACAAAAGTGTGTTTGGAAAGAAATCGAAGCCAGCAAACTCAGGCACAGAAAATGGAGATACTCACAGAGAGGCAGAGGCATATACAGTCCAGAAATCCTTTATAGAGAGAGCACAGCTCTGTCTTTCCCATGATGCAGAAGGGCAGAGCTCCTCTGAGATGAGAAGAGCTTGAGTGGAAGAGAAGAGGATGGAGGGAGGTTGTAAAGAAAAAGGAGAGAAAAAGGTGAAGCAAAAGCACAAAAACTAGATCAGCAGGAGAGAAAAGGCACAAAGGACAGGACGGTACAAGTATAAAGCAGAACTGGCACAGTAAAACTAGAGGACTTGGAGTTGAGACAAAGTAAAATATAGCTCCCAATGCTGTCAGCAGAAACCAGATGCGAAAGTGAGACGCAACTGACAGGAGAGAAACTAGCTTAAGATACAAATCAAACAAAAGTGAACAAGAAAGTTGAAGCGCAATAGAAAATCAGAAAGCGCCAGACAGAAACGAGACAGGAGGACAGAGAGAGGGTGAGAAGAGAGCGCGCAGACAGATGCTAATAATACACTTTGGTCACAACACCCTGAGAAAGTCTTCAGAGGAGAATCAAGATGTGGTTTGGGGGAGGAGAGATCCAGTTTCACTCCACTTTACTCACTCTCCTCCTTGCACCTCCTTAACCCCCGCAACATGTTTTCCCACACCTGTCCTGCTATACATAAAACACATACCTTTAAATAAACAGTGCATGCTTTCTACACACAAATAACTGACACTGCTCTTATAAAGTTTTTATTTCGTAGTTCATGTTTAAAGGGTCACATTACTTGAACAATATGAGGTGTATCAAAATGTGAAAAATAGAACCATAAGAAATGTTAAAATACTCGTCTGAAATCTCCTAAACTTGATACAACGTGTTGGTCACAGCAACAAAGTGGACCAATGATTTGCATTTGGATATTTCATTACATGAAACAGCAGGTAAAAAGTGTTTTAAAAACCTGAATTATTCCAACCATTTTAACACAAATAACAAATCTCATGAAGTGATCAGTAACAAAACATTTGATTTCTATAAATATTTAGTATATTTGATATTTTTAAATACAATCTCTGATAAAAACGGTAACATCAAAAATATCCTTTACGTGATTGTGAACATATCACAAAGTTTGGCGCTGCTCCTCGTAGTTTAGTCCGGGGAATATCAAAATGTCTCCATAAGGCTCGTCCTGCTCTGCACGGACACTCTTGGCTGTTAAAGACTCTGCAGAAAACACAAACAACTCCACTGTAAATAAAACTAAAGTCTAACACAACTAGATCATATCAAAATCTCTCCATGAACCATTAAGTGATATTGCTTCTTCAGCTCAGCTCATCATAAATGCCACCTCCCTCAGCTTTGTGGATGAAACAGCTTCCTCTTGTGTTGATGAATGTAACAGAAACACAATTTCAACATGAGAAATGGGATGATTGACTAACTAACACCTCACCCAGCAGCCTCATGAAGCTTTTGCTAACAGTTCTGCGGTTTGCGTCTGGCGGCAGGAGAGAGGCAAACACCACGTGCCCCTCTTCATTCTCTGGGATATCGAACGGCAGCCTACACACACAAAAACACACGATCGTATTCTTATCTCCAAAGTGTTACTAAATGCAAAGACTGGGGAAAATCACCAAACAGCTTCAACTGAGTGAGTAATAGTGATGTGTTCAATGTCATTACCCAGGAGACTCTGCTGCAGCTCTCTCCAGGAGCTCGTCCACCACCTCTGGGATGTCCTTCAGGGACCTGGGGACAGTAGGCCTGAACACACACATGTGCACATAAACATTCATTTAAAGAGCACTCAGTGACTGAATGTACATGGCAAATTGTGTATTTTTTAAAGATCTAAACTGAAGTCTTTTGGATTCAAATACAGAAAATATTGGACCGTATACAATAAAATGGACGCAACTACAAACATGTCAGAGCTCTTGCAGCTCACTGATCAAATGTCCATATAGTGTATACAAAGGGCAGAGTAGAGGAGGACATTGAGGATATGGAGGATATGGAGGATATGAAATATAAACTCAAACGGCTTCCCATACTCCAGTCAGTGTAATATATGTAGCCCTTTTTTGACTGTCATGAATGTTTGGTAAAGATCTGGCTGAAGTTAGTGCCAAATGTGGTAATGTGTTCAATCTGCGGTATTTATTTTAACCCATTTACCTTCACATCGCTATGTGTTACCCATCCTTGCTGCACTCACATCTTCGGTACCTACCCTTCTTTCTCGGGTGAGAACATGGGGGACATGTCTCTGATTCGAGACATCTCCCTTTGGTCAGATCTCTCCAGCGTTGTATCAGGGTCTGATAAACACACACACCATTTTAGATATTATATTAGCTTGTATTCGTTCCCTGTAGGCTTGCCTACATGCCTACATGCCTATCCCCCACCTCTGAACCCCCCCCCTCACCCCTGGGAGGACACAGACTAGGGCCCCGTTTACATGGAGACGTTTCTATCGTATAGAAAAAGGGGTGTCACACTCAATTTCAACTCGGGCCATATTAGCATCATGGTTGCACTGAAAGGGCCAGTTCTATATATAAGACTATATGAGAATAATTATATAAATATGTAATATATATAAAATAATGTATTATATAACATTATTGCCTCTGCATTGGATTATTATCGGATAGGGTCTACGGACTACGTCTGAAAGCAGAAGTCTAGGGCAAACAATTGCAAGTCTCTTCAGTGCGCATGTCACAAAATTATTTGAAAAGAAAAGTCAAATTCTGGAAAAACTAAAAAAAATAAGTGACATTTTGGGAAAAAAAGTAACGTTTTGAAAACAAAAGTCAAATTCCGAGAAAAAATGTCTAATTTGAGATGCATTGTGGGACATGAAATGAAGTCGCAGGCCAGATTTGGCCCCCAAATCCGTAACCGTATAATAAACATATTATATTCTTTGCAAGCTCTTGTGGGGCCACATGAAATGAAGTTGCGGGCCGGATTTGGCCCCCGGACCTTGAGTTTGACAACCCTGGTATAGACGGTTCGTTCACACGAGGCCGTAACAGAACTGCAGAAACGGACCCCTCAAACGATAACGGGTTCCCAAGGTGGGTAGATCTGTGGACGGAACGCTCTGGGGGGCCAAACGGCTCCGTGTGTACGCCCTATACGCCATAGCCCCGCCTCTCCCCACCTTTCCTGCTCACCCGCCAACAACAACAACCGAGTGTTTTCGAGCCAGGTCCCGGTGTTGTGCCGAGTTATGCACCCCCGCCCTGAAATGCACCCCTTGTCACGGGAACGCGCATTTGAAAATGAAACGTTTACACCTTAAAATAATGCTTAAAGCGTCCAGGGTTGTTTTAATGGTAAATTTTCAGACTGTGAGTCGTTTAGTGGCAGCTCATATAGTCTGGATTCTTGTGGTTAAACTTTTCGCTCCGTATTTTGATGGTTGGGGTGTCGAATCCTGGATTTTGCATTCATTCGTCACTTCTTTTTCAGTTATTTTTTTATTTAATATATGTTTTTTATTTAATTGTGTCTGTATACGCATGCTTTAAAATGTATTGTATAATTTCACATATTTGTCATATAATAATCAAAATATATATTTACAAATGTTACATAGTCTTTGTCAGCATATTTTTGCATTTTAAAGATTACTCTTTTACCTATTTGTGTTAATTATTCGGGTCTAAATGAGCTAACAGATTTTTACATCAAGTGCTTGAGGGTGGGATTAATAGAAACGTTTTTATTTTGAGGGGTGCTTTTTATGGCAGGCCTGGTTGCCACAATATGCACCCCTTGCTATCTTACATAATAAAAGGGTCACATACATGAAACTTGCTCCATTTATTGGTACTAGTCCTACAACTATACCCTCAAAAATGCTTAAGAATGGGATCAATAGAAGCATCTTTTTTGGGGGGGGGTGCATTTCACAGTGGGGGTGCATAATTCCGCACAACAGTTGTGCGGTCTTGTGTGGACGGACACGTTTATTGAGCCGATTGCGTGTGAACGGAATACTTTTTTGATATCGAATTCGGTTCAGTTTCCGTGTAAATAGGGCCTAGGTCGCGCTAAAAGCAACTGATGTGGACACACACTTCACACCCAGCACACTTTCATGTTTGTTTTGTTTTACACAATGTTTACCTGAAAATCCGTTCATCTCCAGGTCTACCACATCTCGGCGGAACTGTATTCACACACAAAAACACACACACACACACACATTACTTAATCTTCTCCCTACACAAAGAGGCTTCACAGTTATTGATCCCATAGTCACACACACAAACAAACAAATAAACATTCTTCCACACCTCACTATAGGGGCTGAGGGCAGCACCTCCATCCTTTCCTTCCCGTGCTTCCACCTCCTCTGCCGCCTCCACCATCGCATGCTCTCTCTCCTTTTCGGAGTCGTTGGACTCGGGCCCTCTCTCCCCGACCTGCAGGTCCGAGCCTGAGAGAGGCGTGATGGTCGCAGCCTGTTTCCATAGTAACAGCAACTCTTCAGGCAAGGCTGCGAGGTGGAAAATAAAATCAATGTAGATTTTTGAAAAAAGGTAACATGTATCACAACTTCAAACAGCAGTAGTTGCAGATGTGCACGAGCAGAATTGAAGTGACAAAAAACCCTCACTTCATATAAAAAATGTGTATAAAAATGTAATAGATATCACCATCAATGAAAAATAATATGACTTAAAAGAAGCTGTTAAAAGTAGTTAAACATATTTTAAAATTGGTGCCACTGTTGTAATACAGTATACAGGAAGTCTTCTGAACTGTTTTATGGCAAAAAAAACAACAATTTGTTTTACAGTGTAACACAGGAAGAAGGCTGTTCAGTGTTTATGAGGAACATGGTTTTAAACACTGGTGTGAAATCAGATTTGTATTCAAGGATTGTTACTGACGTGTGCAGGGATTATTGAAGAGCTCAGCAGCAGAGGGCAGCCTCTGAGAAGGCGGCTGCAAAGTAAGACGAGGTCCGGTCTCAATATGAGGGTCGTTGATCTGCTCCTGCTGGACCTGCTCTGGGATCTGCGTCTCCGGGTCGAAGAAGATCAGCTGCCTCTTCCTCGTCCTCATCTGCACCTCTGGAGTGGGCACATCCTGGGAATGGGAGGGATGGAAATCAACCCTAACTTTCCTCCAGCTGTTAAAGGCATTTCATTGAATGTCTCTCTAAAATGAGAACAGCCATTGGGTTGCCAGGTTGGGAAAAATCCCTTTTTGATGACATTTATTTATCCTAGCAGCTTAAATGTAATTTGTGTTAATGTTGTGAGTTTATCAGGAGACCCCGCCAATAGACATTTTACCATTAGACCACAATCGATTTAAAAACTATTTATTACCAAATTCAAGAGCGGGCTAGTCTTGTTCAAGAAAAATAAACTTTAACAATTCAATAGAGATTTCCCAAATAAACCTGCTTTGACTTTTTAAATATTGATTTAGGCATTCTAATACAAATTGAGGCCTTATTTAGAGATGACTGACTTCAGTGCCTTTTAACATTTCCAAAGGATCTACAGGAACCATGATGATACCAATTCCCAGAAATCAATGGATACCGTTCTAAAAACAATACTGTATTTGAACAAAAAAAGGAGGAAGTTTGTTCTAAAAACACTTCCTGCACGGATGTGATTGCACGAAAACCCAAAATCTGGCACCTTCAACTGTAGAGATGGTCTTTGACGTTTCTCGGCTGCATGTGGTGGGGAGGGGAGGATGGGCACAGAGGTGGGGGTGTGCAGGTGTGAAGGGGATGTGGGCTTCTCCCCGGACAGGCCTGGATCTTCCTGAGGCAGAATGACGTCCTCAGTGGAGAGGGTGGGGTGCAGTGAGCTGACACAGAGAGAAGCAGTGTTATTGTGTGGCTCTGTGGGTTTCTGCTGACGTTTCCATGGAGATACTTTACTCAATAGTGGAAGCTGTGAAATCTCTTGTTGTCTTTCCCTCCAGGTCTTCTTCTCTCAGATCCCTTTCAATATCCATCTCTTGATCTCCTGGCTGCATTCCTTGCTCCAGTATATCAAAATCCTCACCTAGAAAAAGTCAAAGAAAGAAAAACCATAACTACCTTATTGTCACCCTTCTCTTGCTGGAAAAGGAGCTCCTAGTTTCGCAACGCACCTTCTGGAAAGTGACCTGTCTGGGCCATGAGGATGTCAATCGTATCTGGGTGCTGATCAACCAGCTCCATGCCCTCGAACTAGCATTCAGTAGAATGAGAAGAAGAATTAGATGTAGGTGAAAACCCGCAAAAAAGGTGAAAAGTGTATGTACTGCGTTTGACTCGGTACCTCTGCGGGAGGGATGGCGATAGGCTCCCTCTCTCTCAGGGTGATGGTTTCTGGGAATGCAGTTATGGCTGGGGGAAATATGATTGACATGTGTTAAAAAAACAACATTATTTCACAGCCACACAAACAAGCAGGAGAGGACACAACTTCTCAAGCTGAAATGAAAGTGCTCTCTTATGTGAAGGTGAAATGTGGCTACACAACATTGTGTGGCCCCGCATCATGGCCTCGGCTGATGAGGAGGATGTTGTTGTTGAAGGCAGTCGGCTCTGATGAGACCCACAGTGTCTCTCTGTGCCTTCTGCTCTGGATATCTGCTTTTTTATCATTATCTGAGCTCCGTCTATTCCTGTGACCTGTTGGTATTTACACTCTGACATACTGTACAGTTCTTGGCATGCTTTGTATGTCTTTCTGTAAAGCTGACATTTAATTAACGCTGATGATAACCAGGACAGGCCTTGTGTATTCTCCTGATATAGCATTTCAAACATGTTTGCCTTAATGATGTGTTTCTAGTTTCTTATCTGTTCTTGTCTAAATGATACAGCATGTATTCTTGCTTTTATGGCTATCTGTTTTAGTTGTGTCTGCATTTATTGTACACATCTCTGCATCATTCGGTTTCTTCTTCAACATGTTCCCCGAGGTTTCTAATAAAAGTAAAACAGGAAAAAAGTGTTTTAGGAGTTTACGGCAATTGTCCGGGTGCAATTGAAAGATAAGTGTGATGTATATTTTGCTTTAAGTAATCAAACTTTCTCTTATTCTTCTATTATAGTATTTATCTATCAGCTCAAATTAGACCAAATGAGCCCTCATTAAGTAATATTTCTCTATTATTTTAGGAATAATATCACATTTACTAGTTTGTATGGTATATACATCACTCTAAAAGTTATTTTCTACAGAACATATTCTATTTTCCGCTGATGCAAAGACAAAATGCCCTGTAGACATGTTTATTTTAATGTCCGTCAGCACATTGAGCCATCTTACCGCTATTTTGTTCAGCAGCAGCTGGAAGCTCAGGAGACCATTCCCTCTGATACTCTCGACCCATCTGAGAAATACAACATAATACACACAGTACACTTATTTCATTCATACAAATATTTAGATGATTTCAACTTTACCTTCCCGTACAAGTGTTACATCTCCTTCCATATTTGGGTACCTGTATCAGTGTGTTGGGACTGGGCATGGCTTCCCTCATGAACATCACTCCGAACAACGGGTCCAGAGCTCCTTCTGTGTCCTCCATGAGACTCAGGGCATCTGGGAAGTCCAACGCTTGTCTGGGAGAAAACAGGAAGTCCAGAAGCAAGAAACAGTTTTTAGTTTTAGTTTGTAACTGCAGATTCAAAACTTTGAGTACCTGTTCTCACCTGCTGGGCTCATCCATGTCAATTATCTGGGACGACCTCTGTTTCAACAGCTTCACCAAAACAGACTGAAGCTCCTCTGGAAGAACATCATTTCATAGTCAAAAACTGAAACTGTTGATGTCTTTTGATCACATAGACACTTGAGAAACTTAAACAATTGAGCCAAGATAGCGTATAATGCTCTTTGGCATGGAAAAAAGGGATAAACAGTTAAATTCCCCTGAACAACTTTCTTTACAAAAATGTCTTTACAAAATCAGCTAGTGTGTGTGATCTTCTTTTGATACAAGGTTTGTAACCTCCTTCATATCATTGATCATTGCTGGAAATTGTAAAGTAGATTTACTCATACAGGGCGTGTGCGTTGGTGCACACATAAACAGAGTAAGAGGAATAAGGTAGCAAGAAATGGGGGCAAAAAAAACTACATGAAAACTATTTAAAAATAAATGTTGCTGAAATGTACATGACACATAAATATAAAAAATATACAAAAATGTAGGTTCAACAATAACATGAAAAGTTACTCTGAAGAAAAAAAGATGTGCAGTGTATCAGAATTTAAAGTAAAATAATCTGTGCTGTTTTGAGACAGCAGAAATGTGCAGAATATACAGAGGAACGTCCATGGATCGCAGCATTTTCTATTGATGTGCGTTAAATGTAATGCATAGTGTTGGGAGCGGTTAGGGGTGTGTGTCAGTGGGGGTCCCGGGCTCTGTTGGTGAGGACAGTGACTGTCTGTTGATAACTTACGCAGCAGGAGAGCACACTGACGGTGGTAGACGAGGATGACGCCGTACTGGAGCTGGGAGGAGAGGTAGAGGGAGAAGCGAGGCCGAGGCAGGCCAGGCTGAGGGGGGGGGCACTCGCTGCAGCACGTAGCTCATGATGTCATCACTGTAGGGCATTAGCTTTATTGTCACTGCATATACTCACAGTTCACCCAATTATAAAGAGGTGACAATGAATAAAATATCTTCTTACCAGGTGCGTATCACGTTGACTTTAAGGAAATCCCGGCGGGGAATTTTGATTCCTTTTGTAGCCACCAGCCTGAAATCAACACACATTTATTTATTTATAATTATATTTATAATTTGTTTTTCCATTCACTTTAATATTGTGTTAATGTTGGTTGTCTTTTTTTAAATCTGAATTATTGTCTATGTGAATAAAGCTCATTTGAATTGAAAAATGTTTAACACCAGAAAATAAAAGGAGGGTGTTATATTTGTATCAATATGCCTACACGCGTTTTTTTCTCCCTTTGTCATAACACAACCTTTGACCTCCATCTTCAAAGCTGTTGTCTTTTGTAAAAAGTCACTTCAAAGGCTCACACTGTACAGTAGAGCAACAGTGTCTCTGTTGCCAGGCAGAAGTGATATTTTGCCGCCCATGCACCTGCACCGCGGGCTTTGTTCTTTACCGTACATGTGCAGTTGTTAAGGCATTTTAGTTTAGAAGATGGAGGATCAGAAATCCAGGTTTTAAAATGGTATACAATTTAAAAAATAAAATAAAAAGTAGTGCGTCGGTTGTAGCCGCAGGACTTTTTTTTCTTTTTTTAAACGTATACAGAAAGTAAACCAACGCAACATACTGTAGAATAAACACTTACAAATATTCAGTTTGCTGTTTGACTAGGCTACTACTGATAAGTGGCCTTCACTTAAAAACATAAAACAAAGATTGGGGGAAAGTGTTACATTTAATTCTTAACCTATATATTTAGTTTGTTTAAAGGACTCATTAGAATGATCAGAACCGGAGTAAATCTACAACATAATTCTCTGTCACAAATGTATTTCTATCAACCACTACAAAAAACGGGTCGATACTGTAGTTAATACCCCTTTGAGAAAAACTACCTCCACTACCTTAACTTTTCATCGATTTAAAATAGTGAGAAAAACCTTTTTACTCACCAGATTGTAGAGAAACATCCTGAATGACGCTTCAAGACGGTGGGGTAGTAAAACATTTTAGAAACACTTTCGGGAAATAAATAAAATAGCTGGTAAAATGCAGATATAACTCCACTCTATAGCAGGGTCACTAGATACTGTGGGACAGAAAATGATTGTTGTCGGCTTGTTTATTTTTAGGAATGAAGCCGATTGGTCAGTCCCAATGTGAGTAATGAAAATAAAGTTTGATATTGGCCCCAGTATTTTAATGCATAATGTAATATACGTGTATTACATATGCATTAAAATATTGGCATAAACATTTTCTCAAGACGTTTGTTGAATTAAAAAAGTTTGTAGAGGATTTAATGTTAACAATAAATAAATGGTGTATTTATTAACATAACCTCTGCTTCCACATTAGCTGCAGGTATTTCTTTCTTCAATTTTCTTTCGATAATAATGAAACCGGTTCACCTTGAAATTGTACCATTTCTTGTGTTTTCAGACATCTAATTAATCATTATAATACTTTTTATTATACCCAATGTTGATTCACGACAGTTAAGAAACACTTCAGGTTCATTGAAGAAACATTGCATTTTATTCTTTATTCATGTGTAAAGAAAGAGATTTATGGATAAAATGAGACACATCAGGAAACATGTTTCTTATAAAATAAAGCCGCAAAACAGCTGTAATAAAATGCATGGATCAACTTTAAAAAATATCAAACAAAAACAGAACAAAGTTACAGAGTTAAAAGGACTTCTAGTTTCCAACAGATAAAGCAGAGAAGGATCACAGCAGCCTCCCTCTGCACTCGGTGGACCCGCAGCAGCACAGCAGCACCTTCCCCTCCACGCTGCCCACCTCGTAGTTATAGTCCCACGTCAGCTCCGTGCCGGCCCGGATCCGCCTGCACAGGGACACAAGCAGGATGTTAAAATAAAGATAAAATGTTGCACTAACACTAAACTAATTGTCTATTTCTGGAATTAAAGCTGGTGGTCACGGTGATCAATTATGTGAAATAAGGAATAATCACTTCCAGTTTAAAAGCTTGTTCTTCAAAATATAAATTCCCTAAAATCCCCAAAAGCCTCACTGCTTTAATTTTCCTCAGACTCTGAAAAAAGGATCTGTGACAAACTTAACATTTGTTCCAACACTCACTTGCTGGCAAAGAACGCCACCCAGGGAAACCTCAAGTCATGCGTGTCCACAAACACATTCTGGACGAAAAGGTTAGGACTACAGCTGTGCTGTAAGACAAAGAGTAGACGAGAGGGTCAAATACAAGTTGAATACAAAGGAAAATAAATTAAATTGACCTCTAACGGATACACACTGAGATCCTGTAGATTAAACACTTACATTGAGGTACCGCCCGAGGTTTCCTTCCAACTTGGCATCAATGATGTAGCAGGACTCTTCCCCGTCAAAGAACAGGCGGGAATTTTTGTAAGTGTTTTCCCCGCCTCCCCCAGTGTGTCCCTGCTTTCCTGTTTTCCCTCCCTGACCTCCCTGCCCTCCCCCGCCTCCAGGTGGTCCCGTTTTCACCATCATGCCGTGGCTGCCCTTCAGAGCGATCCCACGAGTAGATTTCACTGCTACCTGCTTCTTAGTCACACCTGAGACAGAACAGCAGCAAAACGACAATAAATAAAAAGTTAAAACCATGTGGTCAATATCTGTGTGATGTGAATACAGTGCTTTAACATTTCTCTCTTCCTCACCCGGGATGACTTTCTCTTTCTCCTTGTTGTCTTCAGATCCAGAGCTGATGGTCTGAACATCATCACTGTCAGAGAGAGTCATCACATCCTGCTTCTTCCCCGACTCTGACTTCACTTGACTGCACACAAGACACACACAATTTCTCTTAACAACAATCAAACGTTATGTTGTTGACCACAGCGGTCAAGAGCTGGTGTTCAACATGTTTGAAATCAGGAATAAATATTTATCTATTTAAGCATATTTTGGTAAGTCCAACATACCTTTTGCCGTCCCCGGACTCCTGTAATGGAATAAATCAATCAATCGATCATTGACAACTACAGCACAACATCTCCTGGAATAAGAGCCACCTTTTACATAACAAAAAGGTCTAATGAGGGGCAAATTATTTAAAAAAGGCTGTCCACAAAGAGCTCGATATAACCTTATTCTCTGCACTCACCTTCTTCAGCCCCTGGCTGGTGAGCCATAAAGCCACTTTGCTTTTCCCCGTCTCCTCAGGCATGGACGGCGGATTCTTCTCCTCATCGGTTCCTTTTGCTGAAAGGCTCAAGCCATCTTTACTGTCTTGACTCCCTGGGGCAGGAAAGGAGAGGTGTGTATACAAATAAAGAGATTACATCTTCCAGTTTCAAATACTCTTCCATTTTACCAGTTCATTTTATTGTAAAAGATTAACACGTTTGTCATTTTGTGTTCTGTTTGATGCAATTTTGATTTGGGACACCACAGGTCTTTATAACAATAATTCAATATTTTTGAAATGTCCTTCTTTTATTTCTCTCCAAGAATAAAGATCATAACTGCAATGACTCTACAGTAAATATGGATCTGGAGTCAGAGCACTGTTAGCTTAACATAGCATATCGACTGGAAACCTTTAGGCTGGCTTGGAACAAATTCACCTCAAATTCACTAATGAACATCTCATTTGTTTAATCCGAACAAAAAAGTGTTTCTTGTCCAACTATGCCTTCAAATAAAACCACAGCCCTCCCACACCCCCTAAAGCTGCCTCCAGCTCACCTTCCTTGTTGCCCTTGGCCTGACCCCGGGTGGTGTAGCTCCTCCACACCGAGCTGGAGCTGAAGTAGTTTTCCTTCACAAACGTGTCGTCCGAACTGTCACTTTCGTCTTCGCTCTTTGAGTCCTTCTCATCTTCGTCATTGCTGTCTCCCGAGCTTGCGGTTTGGGCTATAACAGATAAAGAAACACATTATTTAAAATCACGAGGAGAAGGAGTATGCATCAGCCTTGGTCAAGAGAAGGAAAAACAGCTGAGAATCTAACCAGGTCCATCATGCACCATCTTGATCTCTCACCTTTGGGCTTGGACTCACCCTTTCTGGGCAGCCTCCCTCCAGCTTTATTTGTTACTAAAGCGGAGGGTTGGATTTTTATCCTCGACACGTCCACGCCGCTCCCCTCGCTGTCCGAGCAGTGAGCCTCGCTCTCATAGCCCTCCTTGAAGTTCTCCACACTCTCTATATGGTCCAGATTGGCAAAATACTCGTCGCCCATCTCTAGACCTTCTTTGTCAGCAAAGTCGTCCGTCAAGATTTTACCTGGTAAAACGGGAGGGAAAGACATAAAGAAGTGAGTCACCTTGCAATCAAATCATCTCCTGTTGAATTGTTATGAATAAACTTAAGATGAGCCTGTATTCCGTCAAATCTATCCTTCCAAGATTGTTCCCCTTCCTCACCAGCATAGATGCAGACAAAAGAGCCTTTGGCCACGTCATCCAGACAGCGGATGCCCCAGCCTTTGTTCTGGGTCTTAAAGAGCTGGAGACGCACCTGCAGACCATGCTGCACCAGCCTGTTGGTGCACATCTCAGCACAGCATTTACACCGCTTATTACACTCGTAGATCCTGAGGGAAAGAGAGCAGGAGAGAAACATTCATACAGGGAGAAGAAGAAATAACAGCCTTATGTCATTTTGAATGGTGTGTGTAAAAGTCTGACCCTGTAGGGAGGCACTCCTCTAATCGTTTGTGCAAAAATCCAGCATTGGTGTTAATCTGTGCCCCCGGTGTACAACCTGTAGCCTGAAGGGTCAGCTGGTGGCAAGAGCATTTGGACCTTTAACAAAGAAATAAAGACATGTGGTCAGAATACTGTGATGAGTCTGAGGAATATGAACAATGATGGCTCCACTCACTTGTCTCGACAGCCGTCGGTGCACTCACACCCGACCAGGAAGTCTGCACTGGTGTTGATGTATACTCCATCTTCAGGAATCCGCTCTTTACCTTGAAGAGAAGAGAGGAGGCAAAGGAATTAGGGTCAGCAAAAGTTTAGCTGCATTGATATGTAATCATTTATTAATGTATATGTTGTACATGCAGGTGAGGATGAAAGCTCAAGGCTTGCAAAAATACCTTTCAGAAACAAAATAGTACTCCATGGATCTATAATTGCACTTTAATGCTATTGTTAGTGTTAGGGTGGATAGTTTAAAAAGAAAAATGTGTGAATTTAATACTTACTGTAAGCTACTTTCGGAGGCGGGCCGGAATCGATCTCATTGACGCAGGAGAGGGGGATGTCCTCTTTTCCATTAGTGATGTCTGGAATGTAATAGAAGGGCCTCTGTGGCTGGAAGGGCCGGTCCACGAGCACGTAGGGGTCGAGACAGAACATCTCCAAGAAGATAAAGTCACAGCGCGTCTGGAAGAGGTAATGCTGGATCTCCCCCATGTTTCGCAGGCAAAGCCCACACGGAGCCTTGTAGATCACATGGAAAGACATCTGAGGGGTGGACAAGAGGAAGACAATAGTTTTAAAATTCAATTTAGGTAGTCGTTCCTACAGCTACTACATCATACTACTCTTCCTTCATATTTACCTTCCGGTTAACTTTGCGCCGTCCCGTCATGCGTCTGAAGTCGTACAGTAGAGGTGTGAGGAGGGGGTTCTTCCCTCGGTGCACGTCTGGTTTTACAGGTCTGACGCGGTTCAGACATGCGGGCTGACAGGAGTGTGCCAGGTAGAAGATGCGGTCCGTGGAGGCGCGGTAAGAGGGCTGATGTGGGACAACGGCCATCGTGTGGGGAATAGCAGGGGGGAAAGAGACCAGAAGGGGGGGTCTCGGAAAGGACTGCTTGAAAGTGGGACCAACAATATCCTGGGTGCTCAACATTCTTGCACTATGGATCGACAAAAGAAAGAGAAAAAGAGAAAAGGTCAGCATCTTATTAGGACTGTACCAAATGTTTTTGAATAAAGCTCTGAATGTCTGTACTCATATTCATTGAAATCCACACTAAATAAAAAAAATCCTCAAACCTACTCCTCACTTCAAAATAAAGTGATTCATCAGATTAATTTAGTTAGTCTTTTAAAAAACACATTCGTTAGTATGAAAGGGATGACATCTTGATACAGCACTGAAGGTCAAGCTAATGCAATTGAACTGATTCACTATTATAGTTATGTCAATTTATGTTTCCCATATTGAGAAATCATGTCAATACATGGATGAAAGATCTGCGCAGCCACTGATAATGTTCAACTATTTTGACAACAAATATGTAGTGATTGTCGCAAGTTATGTTAAATGTGCATGACAAATGACTAGTTTGACGATTGGTTTTTTCGTTTTTCATGCAACCATACTAAGTTTTCAGAGTACCCTTCATACATTTAACAGGAGAAATCAAATATGGAATATACTTAAAATGCCCTTTAACTTATTAGAACAAATTATGAGGTGGACTCACCTCATGGGGCTGGCAGAAAGAGACTGCATGATTTTGGAGGCATGGGTCCCTCCTATCCCTGGAATAAACGGAGAGGTGCTCTTCTTTGCCATCTGATGTTTGTTGCTTGAAGACAGCGAGGAGAGAAAGACAGTCAGTCAGTATCAAAGGTTTCCACTGCCCTTATCGTCTAGGTTTAAAGCTCCAAATATCAACAGTTTGTCTTTCATTGACTAAGCATCAAACATGTGTAATGTGAGAGCGGTCAATGGTTAGTGATTTCCATCAGGAGTTGGTGTAGCTGAAAAACCAAAAATAATGAATATTGTATTGAAATGTATCGCCAAAAAAAAGGAAAAATCGCAAAAACATGAATCCAGATAAAGGTTAATGTTAGTCTTTTAAATGTGTAGAAAAGGTTATCTATCAATTCACATTTTGTGTAACTAAGCCACTGCCAGGTGTGCCAGGTATATGTGTGTTTTGGTTGTTCTGCTGCCCCAAAGTGGCCCAACATTATGCTACTTTGAGAAGGACTTAATGAGTACTTTAACACCAGGTAGAAAAGCAGTGTTTTGCTGCCCTCTCTGGTGGAAAATGTAAAACCTGTTTTCAGTTATTAAACGTTTTATAAGCTAACGCCCACTTTATTTCAAATTAGTATGAATGAAATTGGGAAGATTTCACAGTGCAGTATAATACATGAACACAATTATTTTCTCCCTTTTCCCAAATGGTGTTCTCTCAGTGTTTTTATTTGGATATTGTGACGTTAAACCTCTAACTGGATCATAAGAAGACACAGATTTTTGTTATCGAGATTGTTTCATATAAAAAGGAATATCGCCCCCCGTTGATTCAGATTTTGTTGCAGAGTATACACCACAGAAAAAAATTGATTCAGGAGTGTTAGTATTGGATCAGAAATCATCACTTACTCAACACGAAGAGGCTGAGGGGGCTGAGGAGGCGGAAGAATCTGTTGGATTTGTTGTGGCTGAAGGGGCTGAGGACCCTGTTGTTGGTGTTGTTGTTGTTGTTGTTGTGATTTTTGTTGTTGTGGTGATTGTTGTTGTGATATCTGCGGAGGCTGGCTGGGTGAGCCCTGCGGCGTTTTGACCGAAGTTCCAACATGTCCGTCACTGGTGTACTGGACTACTGGACCTTTACTCCTCAACGCCCCTGAAGATTAAAGTGGACAAAAAACAAAACATAACACATGAATGAATGTTCTTGAACATGATATTAACAGAAACACTATAACAATGGTGGTCGTTTTCTTTGGGCGAGACACCATTTACCTGTAGTGTCTCCCCTTAAAACACTGCATCAACTTGTTATAAATTGGGCTTTTGACATGGATTAATGGTGTAGGTTGAAATAGTACCCATGTTAGGACGGCTCCTCTGCTGGCCAGCCAGCTTCTTCTCCTGGGTGTTGGCGGTGGTCATCTTCAGGTTGAACATTGGCTCCAACCTGGTGGAGCCTCTGTAAATCCACTCACTCCTCTTGTCATCCTGATAAACACAAAAAGCTTCATCAACTGCTGCACAGATAGGTCCACTTCAATCTGATGTAGGTACTGGCAATGAACATAAATCCTTCTTTTAACTAGTAAATGCTTTTTATCATTGATCTCACCAACATACCAAAAAGAGGATCTTGACCAAGCTCCCTTCCACCTCCTCCACTTTGCTCTTCCACCAGGTTCCCTCCCACTCAGTCTTGATGATCTGTCCGACCTTCAGGAGCACCATAGGCCTGCTGGGATATGCCGTGATGTACTCCTCAATGAAGTCTCGGCATGATGCATCCTCTATATCCTCCCAGGTACGCTTCACTGTGAACAAGGATCATCACAGTCTTTAATTAGTATATTAATTCATGCATGTAGACAAGCAATTCAACAGATAACAAAAAAGAAAGAAAACGTGGAGAAATTGGCACTTACATGGTCGGCAAACTGGGTGGAGATCAGGTAGGTGGACATATGAAGCATAGCCATCATCAAAAAAGATCAGAAACCTGAAAACATACAATAAATGTTTAAATTCAAGGTCATTTGTTGTCATTCTGCAACACAATTTTGCACAGCAAAATGCAAATGGACCAACAAATGTTTGCTATACGTCAATTTAAAATGATTTAATGCCGGCCAAAATATTCCCTGTCTACAATCGGCCTTAGTTTAAACTCTAAATCCACGGACCTCATGCGGTTCTTGTTGTTGGGCATCTCTGCCACGACTCCAGCGTAGAGCCACACCAGGATGCCGTCCTGGTACTTGGCGACGACACGAGCCCCGACATACAGAATCTCCAGGGTGGGGTTATATTCGAAAGCTACATGATTCCCAGACAGCAGACTCTTCCCTTTATCAAACTTCACTTTATACTTGAATACACCATTTCCTGAAAATAAACAGAGGGTGTGTTTATTTATAGATGGCACAATTGAACTAATAAAATACAAAGTACAATAAATAATTATATTTACAGGTAACTTGAAGAGCATAAAAGAAGAATGAAATGTTTTGGTAACGTACCCACAGGGCTGATAGAAACTAGGGTGCCTTTGTGCCAGGTCTTGGTGCGTTTCTTTCCCAGAATGGTCATCCCGACTCTCAGCTCGTCTTCTGTGATGTTTGGGTTCGGCTGCGTCATGGAATGAGACGGAGCCTGGGACACAAACACTGCTGGCACTGAAGCCTGAATACCTGAAGGAAGGAACAGCCAAACACACTGTTAACATAACATCTACTTTCACACAGGTGTGGATTATCTAACATTGTTTAGGGAATAGGTGTGTGCTAACCTGACTGCGGTGGAGGCTTTAATGGAGACCGTTGCAAAGCAGCATTTAGTGAAGGCTTGGTGACAATGTGGACCAACTTCTGCACCTGCTGGGAGGTTTTCTGTAGCGCTGTCGAGGCATCTTTTAACTGCAAAAAAAATGTAAACATGCCATCATCATCTGCATACACTACAATCAGTTTCGTATATACAGTGGGGCAAAAAAGTATTTAGTCAGCCACCAATTGTGCAAGTTCTCCCACTTAAAAAGATGAGGCCTATAATTTTCATCCTAGGTACACCTCAACTATGAGAGACAAAATGAGAAAAACAAAATCCAGAAAATCACATTGTCTGATTTTTAAAGAATTTATTTGCAAATTATGGTGAATTTTTGGTCAATAACAAAAGTTCATCTCAATACTTTGTTATATACCCTTTGTTGGCAATGACAGAGGTCAAATGTTTTCTGTAAGTCTTCACAAGGTTTTCACACATTGTTGCTGGTATTTTTGGCCCATTCCTCCATGCAGATCTCCTCTAGAGCAGTGATGTTTTGGGGCTGTCGCTGGGCAACACGGACTTTCAACTCCCTCCAAAGATTTTCTATGGGGTTGAGATCTGGAGACTGGCTAGGCCACTCCAGGACCTTGAAATGCTTCTTACGAAGCCACTCCTTCGTTGCCCGGGCGGTGTGTTTGGGATCATTGTCATGCTGAAAGACCCAGCCACATTTCATCTTCAATGCGACACCCTCTATCTAAGGATAGAGGGTGTCGTTTTTCTCATACTGATATTCTGAACAATCTGTGCTGTTGTATTTGCTGTAAAGTGTCTCTGCTGTAGGCTATTTTTATTATATGTACAGCACTTTGGCTCGACCAAAAATCGTTTATAAATGTGCTATATAAATAAAACTTGATTTGATTTGAATGCCCCTGCTGATGGAAGGAGGTTGTCACTCAAAATCTCACGATACATGGCCCCATTCATTCTTTCCTTTACACGGATCAGTCGTCCTGGTCCCTTTGCAGAAAAACAGCCCCAAAGCATGATGTTTCCACCCCCATGTTTCACAGTAGGTATGGTGTTCTTTGGATGCAACTCAGCGTTCTTTCTCTTCCAAAAACGTCTAATTGAGTATTTACCAAAAAGTTCTATTTTTGGTAAATATTGTTTGTAGGTGACCAAATACTTATTTTACCGAGGAATTTACCAATTAATCCATTAAAAATCCTACAATGTGATTTCCTGGATTCTTTCCCCCCATTCTGTCTCTCATAGTTGAAGTGTACCTAGGATGAAAGTTACAGGTCTCTCATCTTTTTAAGTGGGAGAACTTGCACAATTGGTGGCTGACTAAATACTTTTTTGCCCCACTGTATGTCTAACATAGCAGCAGCTCGAAAACAACTTAATGAAGTAGTGGCCGCTTGTTAATTGGGAAAACATATCAGCTAATGGCAGTTGCCCAAGAACAGCAATAAGCTTTTGAATAATTTTATTTTTTAAGGTATTTTCTGGGCCACTTCATTGAAGAGACACGGTTTAAATGGTACCAGGCCAGATTTGATCATCTGATCAGCTAATCCAAGTGAGTCTGCCTCCGATGGATCAGTCAGAGTCATTGCTCAGTGGGCAGCTGGGACAGCGTTAAAACCAAGTGGGAAGTAATCAGGATACGTCGGACTCCTCATCGACAGACTCTGGTTTAGAGACATGACGCAGAACAACAAAGACTCCAGTAGAAAAAGGGCGAGAGACAGTTGGTAAAAAAAAACAGAATGGAAATAATCGGAAGGGAGCATATTTTAACATTTTGGTGTTAAAGACAAATGGTGGGAAAGAGGTGCTGCAGTACAGGCAGTAAGAGAAAAATAAAAGTATTTTTTGAAGATTAAAGCATCTAAACATGTCACAGTAGAGGCACACAATACAATACGAACTGGAAAATGAGCATATATGTTAAAGAAATCTGCAGTGTTTGTCAAAAATAAGTTGACAACATTTTCTAAATTATTAAGATTTAAAATAGCCACATCCAGAAAGGCTTTTTTCTTTTGGAGCCACAAAATAAATATGTTAACACATGAATCAGACAGCCCACAACAGACATTGAGCATGAAGTGTAAAGGGATCAAAGAAATGAAACTTTGTGTTGTTCTTACCAGTGGATCTGTGCAAGGGGTGCCGGGTTTCTTTGGAGGAACCACTGAAACATTATAAAGGACAGATGATATTTAATAACCTGATTGTTTTCCTCCTATTGTAGCAATTACATCGCCATTAAAGTAGAACGACTTACAACAGCCAACATCAATGACGTCATCGTCTTCGTCATCGTCTATCTCGATGACTTCAGAGGGCAACAAGCCCCCCCCGCCTCCCTCATCCTCCGAGCTGCTCTCTCGGTAAACAAGACCGTTCTTTTGGTAGGTTTCCTTCACAAGCTTCTCACACTCCAATATGGATCTGAGGAAAAATGTCAAACAAAAATGTATAAATTGCACACTGAACACATGTCCACTTATTTAACCAAGGTCAGCTTTCAATAACTTATCTTCATCAGACTGCAGAGTGTCCCTGGACAATGATTCTGTTTGTGTTGATTTTATACATAATGCTTAAGTATGATAGTGTAAAGAATGTAGCACAATAACATGGGGCGTATTGATCCATTAAGTCAATAATCAAACAATCAAATATCATCTATTGCAAAGTGAAAACACATTATCATTTGATTCATTATTATCATTTTAATATACACCATGGTAGACTTTGTGATGTATCGTAGTGTTGTTCAAAGTATTGCATATACTGTATCATATTGTGATGGAAACCTGTCATTTAAACCTTTAACAAGTACCCACAAAGTACAAATGCAAACAACCAATAACATACTTAACAATAATAAACACTGAGATAAGGAAGATATGTATCCTTATGGAATAAATACTGTATAAAGACTAAAACCATGATTTAAAATAATCGGACTTTGGGAAAAGGCTACGTACTTGTTGGCATCGATGAGAAGCGCGTTTGTCTTTGACTCCTCTTCCTCTTTCTGCTCCACCCATTCCTTGAACTCTGTCAGTTGAGCATTTTTCTTCTGCACAATCTCACTCTTCTCCACAGCCTCATCAATCCACTTCTTCAGCTCATCCAGAGAAATGCCCAGCTCTTCCTCCAGATTGGGGTCCCAGCCTTCCACCTCCATTCTGAGGAGGAGAAAACAAACAGAAATAGGAAACGTAGTTATAATTGAAACATACTTATATAGGTCTTTCCAGGTCTCACTCATTAAAGATGAATTGCACCGAAACTGTTGTTTGAAGTAATACCAGCATTCCTTTATTGCCAGCATTTTGTAACTCAATAACATAGATGTTCAGGGTGTTGGATGTTATTGTTGAAACAAGCAACAATACAAAGTATGACATTAATGTATATGATCACCTTAATGTAAGCAAGCATGTCTTAATATTCATAAAAACACCTTTTCTTAATCTCTTTCATTTTTTGTAAAGCACTTTGAATTGCCTTGTGTTGAAAAGTGCTATATAAATAAACTTGCCTTGCCTTGCCTTGCCTTGCCTTGCCTAGTCAATTAATAATTATTTGATTAAAAAATGTTCACCAGTAAGATCATTTTATCTATGATTTATCATACCCCTCTATCAATGCTAATACTGTTGCGGCAGAAATCTCTGAAGTTGGGCAGGATGTCTTCACAACACTATGTTAACACTTATTTAACTTTCAAAAAGTCAAAAGAGTTCCAATAGAATAGAGTTTACTGAAGATTCAACAAAATACAGCAAACACGAGTCAGTTCATCAAGTGGCTACTTTTACAATGTTCATGCTTCTGTTTATACACATTTCTTATCAGTTTTTTCGCCTTCATATAAGGCGAAAAATATATATATATATATATGTGTGTGTGTGGCCTACTTTTCTTTGTGATACCCATACACACAAATATATCCCAAACTACCTCAATAATGAATCCACACATACAGCTCAAACCTAGTTAGAGCTCTGCTTGTAATGTCTGCAAAATCATATGAGAATTGCATGTTGATATGTCAGTATATATATCGATTACCAGAATAAACATGAATGCATCCCTGATTTCTTTCCTGTGTATATCTGAGATGTGGAGCCACATTTCACACGTGTTTACACTTCTTCCTCTCATGCATCCCGACTTCAATATGTTGTTGTTAACCCAAACAGAGAGACTGGGCTGATGCTATTCCCACCAAAAAACGATTGCAATACATGTAGTGTAAATTAAGCCACTGCAAGAGCTGCATTTGAGCTTTGTCTTTTAACGTTTCTGGCTAGCACAACAAGGGCCGAAATCCCTTTACAACTTCCAAATATTACCTCGGTAGAGATCGAAACTGACAATTTAACATAACCACAACCTAACCGACACTTTAAATTAAATCATTCAGGTCAGCTAAATGACAACAAACTGAAGCATGATACCAGTGAGAGCAGCTCGTTAGCCTAGCATTAGCCTGCAGAAAGTGACTTCAGTTGACTGACTGCTGCAGGTCTCTGGAAACAAACGGCATTGTGTCCTCTGGAGTTCCTCTCAAAAACACATCAGCGGTAAACTTAATTCAGAAAAAGCATTCAACACTCACCCCTCGCTGCTCTCCATCTTCTCTGCTATCTTACAATAAAGGCTCAGCTAGCTAAGGCTAGCATCTAGCTTCAACAAGGAGGAGTGCAGGCTTTGCTTCACAGGCTACCCGAAGTGGGGGCGGTGCCATTGAGCGCTCTTTGTTTTGCTCACGCGGGTTACCCAGGTACATAAAACGTGTTCTGATCTACATGACGCTGTTTCGAGAGGCGCCTAATATTCTCATGTCAGGATCGTTTTTATCCTAACTTTTAATAGTCGAGAATACTGAAATAACTTGACTGCCAACATATTTATTAACACATTATTATTATTATTGTTATGTGTGGTTCAGTCAAAAAGTAAACATAACACATAAAACCGCTTAAAGTAAAGAACAAATAATGATAGTCCTCTCATAAACTAATAAGAAATATAAATATATATATATATATATATATATTATAAGATAAGATTCCCTATCCACCCAGAGTTAGGGCTGAGTACAATTGTAACAATTTGTGCATTTATTCATCATAGGATTAGATGTCATTTAATATTTTTCAACGCACTTCATGCATGGGACTTATAGGGACAGATACAAAACTGTGTTTCAGGCTGTGCCATGACTCAAACATTTTAGCATTAGGCCTATTCTTTTTCATTATGTTAAACAACTAGTCTATTATTCAGCAATCACTAATATCTGTACTTTATTTCTTACCCCTTAAGGGTGCACATTAATAATGTCTCCTCTTTTTATTTACTTTTCTTATTATTGTAATACTGCCTCTCTTGAAAGATCCACTTCTGACAAATTACCAATACATGTTACAAGATCAGGAATGGGTTACATTTGTCTGATGAGAAGCAACTCGCATGCAAGTTTGTGCAATATCTCCAAAACATTGTGTGAGAGCATTCGGGGGGAAAAGAGAAACATCTGTTGAGCATTGTATTTCCATTAAGGAGAACGGTAAAACATCTGTGACCAATTATTCTGAAAGGGAGAGTATTTACCACTGTGTCTATTAAGAAGTGTTTCACTGCATGTAGATTCTGGTAAAATGATTAAATCACAAGTATTCTGTTGGAGTCAGCTTTTCTGTTCTCTGTCGTTTAAGTCAAGGCTGATTCTCAGAATGATAAAGTTTTTTGCAAATATTAAATCTGATTAAATGCAAAGGCTCTGACCAGAGACAATTTTTTTCTGCTGAATTGTTAATTGTATTGTTTACAGTTAAACACAACTTTACACTTTACATGTACTCATTTTGATTTTCGATATATTAGTATCTTAATATACAGACTTGCAGTCATTTATTTTTATCTCACCAGAAAGACCTACCTGCATGAAATCATTGGTGTTTCCAATTTCTAAATTAACAGTAAAATATTTCATCATGTGCAGAATATACAGCACACATACAAACCAAAACAACTATGCTCTGTCTTTGAGGAGTTTTCCAATTGTGAAATCATATTTTATCTTACTCATAAGCATATAAGGCACATTAAGTACATCATGTAATTTACATTGCATACTTACATTGTTTGTAGATGTTGGATAGACATATACAAATAATAATATATGTTGTAAATTTAAGTATGAGCTATGCAAAAGTAAAACTGTAAAAAAGACAAAATTCCACTGGACTAACTCGTCATAAAAGAAGCCTCAAATGAGTCTTTAGCTTCTGGCAACTCATTTGTGAAATGTATTTAGACTGCGTCATGGCATTGCTGTGTTTATATTCAGGTCAATCACTCCTGTGACTGTTCCTCCTGGTATGTGGCGGTAGAGATATTACTGTAAGGGTCGAGCACCATCTGAGCGCAGCGGACTATGGTCACCAACAAGAAGAAGCAGAGCAGGAAGAAGAAGAAGAAGGCAAACCCAAGGTCCACATCCACATCCATCTGGGACAGAGGGAGCACTGGAGGGTCCATGTTGACAAATCCACCAAATAATAAATACAAGTATATCTATTCCTCTGTTGCCTCATCTGTTTAATTATCTTTTGGTTGTTGAAACCATCAAAGTAGTTCCACTAACACTTCAATTATAAAAAAAATCCATGAATGGCCAGCTCCTCTGTAGATGCTCATACAATCCATTGTGAAGGTTTCTATCTGAAAAAACAACTTTTCTTCTTTTATGTGTCTTGGATCCTTTTTTATTCTCCCAACACCTAATGCCCTCGTCCCAAAGACAAGATAGATTGGTGGACACACGGTGCCCCATTTGGCACTCGTGTTCTCCATCAATAGTTAATAAGGAGTTTGGTAACAATCAGGCCGTTCCTGAGATTAGAACACTCGGGCATCTCTGTGGTCTCTTCAGGAGAGTATGCTGGACAGGAGATGACACCTAACAGGAGTCACTGGATCCCCTGGTCACTACAAGGACACAGGACATAAATGTGTTGCCTTAAACACGTTTCTAAAGCAAATCTGGTGTGCAGATTATGAAAGATTAAGATGCTGGCTAAACAATCCATTTACTTCAAACATTTTGGCTGCTTCTGGACAAAAAGATCAAATAAGTAGGTTAGTGGTGAAGATGCAGAAAGAAAAACAAAAAGCTTGAGGAAGAGGATATCACGCCTTAGGGGCAATCCACTTGAGAGTGGTTGGAAACTGATCCTGACCCAAAAAAATGCAGATTGCTTGTATTCTGATGCCACTAGGACACACGTTAAGAGTAATGTGACTATGCAAATAACATTGAATCTGGGTTAAAACATTGGATCTGAGTAAACAACCAACACAACAAGTGTCTATGTGTTGTAATGCTATCAGTGTAACAAGATTTACAGCACAAGACGTCAGTCAAGTGCAACCCAAAACAGGGCAGAGTGGACACAGTAAACCTATCTTGGACCAGTACAGCATTAGTGCCATCTGTTTTCACCTCCAGGCTGTGAATGAGAAGGGAGAAGGACAAAGACGGAAACCGATCCCAGGAGATACAAACGGATCTCTACCGTCTTCACCAATAAACAGAGACAGGCCAATCAAAGCATGTTGGTTTTTGTTTCTTCATCAATTGAGAACTTAAAACTGTTTCAAGGAAGCGAATAACAGCCATGACTCTTGCATGAGTGTGATCAGTGTAGTGCACGGCTGAAGCGGATATCGGCTATGGACAAGCCTGGAAATATATACAAGTTAGTAATTAAGGATGAAATGATGCGGTGTGCGGATTAACCATGACCTACCACTGAGTGCACAGTCCAAAACAGAGTCAAACATCTTCATTTCAACAATTTAATACAAAAAAGACAAACTCTTTCTCTCTCGTTTAACATTTCATATACATTGTATTTATATATTTGTGTTTCTATGAGTGATAAAAGTTCACATCATTGGAAAAAACAACCTGGATACAGAGCAAACAATAACAAAGATAACACAGTCCATCCTCTCCAAGATGAACACTGGACAATAATCAACATGGGTTTACAGACAAGTCATTTGTCAAAAAGTGTTCCACACAGACAATGGGAACATGTAATAAAAAGGGTCAAATTGAAACTATTTCCACATATTAAAAATCTAAATATTTTTAGAAGCATCGTCTTTCACCCAACAACATTCTTCTATATTACAAACTTTCCCACACAAATTGATTGTATAACACAGACGGTCGGATCCAAATGTTTCTCACAAACTAGAGAACAACATAAACGCTTTGGGCGTTCTCACTTGTAGATCAGATTGTTTTTAGCTCTGTTCATTCCATTTTAATCCTGAAGACCCTGATCAAACCCTTAATTAAATACCAATCAGAATAGGGCAATGCAGACGTCAAGAGATCACAAGTTTCAAAATAACAAGAAAATACTCAGGAAGCATTTCAATTAAATCAGACACTAATACCACATCTCTTCATTTTAAAATCATCAAGGAAAACAGTTACGACAACAAATAAAGAATGGCTTTAAAGATACACAATTCCTGCTTGTTAATCATTGCTGTGAGATTTCTTTCTTTATGTCTATTTTACAAAAGGAGTAAAAGAAAGCCCATACTTGGTACAGGGTAATGCAGAGCGAAAGAAAGAAGAATATGAAGCAAGTCAGAAACCCTACAACTGTGTTATAGTTGATATTGATCCTGTACGCATCAATGCTACATACATAAACACATGCAAACTGTATACATGTTAAAGTCGGCAAGGAAAAGTAGATTGTATACATTTCCAACGAGCACCTAGACAACTGTGAGTAGCCATTGTCACACTGTGTTTGTTGTTGTTATTGAAGGACATCATTCAATGAAGAAAAACCTCACGTGTTCCTCAAGAGGATAAACTATAAATCTACACATTGTAGAATCGCTCCATGAAAGCGGCGCAGAGACATGCAAAGTCATGCTGTGGAGTTCAAACTGTGAGTCGGGTTGGCACAGACAGTGGTGGTTTGCGTGCAACAGCTGAGATATTACAAAAATAAAATAAATCACCAAAGCTGTATATCCCTGCAATTTCCTGAGTTTAAATCAATGATTAAATCGATTAGTCTAAATGCTAAAACAGCAAAAAAACACCAGTCATCAAAGCCTGAGAACATCTAGAACATCTAAAAGGCCGTTTTGTGTGTGTGTGTGTGTGTGTGTGTGTGTGTGTGTGTGTGTTTACTTCCTGTGTATGTTTACCGGAGTGTTTTTGTACAGTCTATTCAAGTGTGGTTGGGTGATTGTGCGTTTTTATATATTTATGTTTTATATATATTTATATTTATCTCACATATCTACAACATAGGTTGTTGACCTTTGGGCAGTGCTAGCTAGAGAATTCTCTTTCAATGGCTGGAATATTATCTTTTTGTCCTTGATTTTCCTCCCCTTGATATCTGCAGTCAGATATATCCCCCCGTCTTTAACTGGCTTGTGGCAGTGCGATTTAAGCCATGCAAAGCAAGGGGAGAGTGCTACTCGCAGGAGCAGGAAGAAAAGCGGAGCAGAAGAGCAATAAGAGCTATATCATATAAAAGCTAGTGAGGGCAAAATCCTCAAGAGGACAAAGGGGTAGACCGGCGGATAAGTGTGGAGCAGGTCACTGGTCGAACGAAGGGTAGATAGGGATCTCAAAGTCATCGCCGTTGAAGTTGGCCGGCTGGTCCAGCATAGACAACACATCCTGAATCAGATTAAAGAGATAAAGAGACTCATTTTAAGTGACAGAGACAGGGAGACTCAATGGTGCTCGAGAGAGAGAGAGAGAGAGAGAGAGAGAGAGAGAGAGAGAGAGAGAGAGAGAGAGAGAGAGAGAGAGAGAGAGAGAGAGAGAAGAGAGAGAAAGAAAGCCTGTTCACTCACAGGAAACATGTCTTGCTGGTTGCCCTGAGCATGAGGATGCTGCTCTGCATTACTCTGCGAGAGCTGATGGCCCGGCCACTGGGGCCACACTGCCTCCGCCGCCCGGGGGGGGAACTGAGCCGCAGACTGAGCGCCATCTGGGATAAAGCAGAGCCGTGAGAGGACGCACCAGGATATCAGAGACTCAGAATCAAAAATGGTGTTACATTAACCTACCATAACCATTGGTGTTGAGGATGGCACGCGCATTCATGGGCGGGTAGTTTCCATTGACGGTGGGGGTGGGAGCAACTCCTGTGGGCATCTGGCCAAAAGAGTTGGAAGAGCCACTGCCATATCCTCCCATGGGAGCAAACTGTGGGGACATGATCTTTGGTGCCTGGGGCGCCACCTGCTGGTAAAACAGGAAGAGTCATGTACTCATTTGTAGATAGACAGTGGTGGATGAAGTGCACAGATTACTTCAAAGTATCAATATAGCAAAAGGAGAGGCTGGAACAATAAAGTAGCATTCAAATGGGGACTACGTTAGTAAAGTAAAAGCATGTGAAAGTTGTGCTTAAGTACTTTTGAAAAGGTACTTTTCTCGATAGATAGGTTGGATGCTAAATAAAAATGTGAGCTTGGTTACATGGATAAACACATACAAGGATCACTATAAGAAAGTATCTAGTTGTATTTATTTGGCAATAAAGATTGATTAAAAAGCAAAACAAAGTTAAATAGTAGATCTTTCTTACCTGGTTATTAAACTGTGCTTGTGGTCTGACTCCAGCGGCCGCACCAGGCCAGCTTCCTGCTGGGCACCCATGCATGGGGCTGTTGGTGCTGGAGGGGGTCACCGACTGAGGGACTACGTTCTGACGGGACATCTGAGCGAGCATCTGCCCCGCCGAGTGTGCTGGCTGTGCCATCTGTGGGGCCATGGGGACCGGCCTGCAGACAACAGGGAGGGGAGGAAGAGCTCCGTTACCTGGCTGTCAGTTACAAAGACTATGTGTAGGAAATGATAAGTACCATTATGAAGGGTTATTATTTAATACATAACAATACTCTTAGCTAGGCAAAAAAACTGTCATGGGGGGGAAAAGCTCACCGCCCTATGCAGTGAATGTAAGATATAAAAGGTTTTTCTAGCACTACTTTTGATGCAATCTGAGCCGCTGTCTGCCACACATCTTTGCATATGAGCAATACAAACATCGTTAATGTTTTGGAGAACAGATAGCAGGGGTTTTCAAAGTGTGGGAAGGTGACCCTCCCCTCAGAGAACATAAGAACAGCCGCGCCCCCCCTCCCAATTATTGCTATTATTATTATTATTGTTGTTGCTATAATGCAGGGGTATTCAATTGCATTTCAAAGAGGTCCAGTAAGAGAACATGTTTTCGCTCCGTCTACCTTTCTCTTTTTTGAGCACGCCATTTGAAATGGCTCCGACTGTTTCTCTCTTCTTGTCTCGTTTCTGTGTTTGAATCTATCGTGCTCACTGACTGCACCGATTTGATTGGCTGAGTAGCATCATCTCCTTAAAACATTAAACAACAACTTTTTTATCTTTATGTTTTAAACATTTTTAAAAAACATTTTTAACATGGTGGAGAAATCCTTATATGCTCCCGGCAACACACTGAACGTCCACTCTGCCTCCTTAGTACACTCACCCCTACTTTAGTGGGAACAATGAGTCTGCGTCTTTGATGCGCACAGGCGGACGATGCGGGGAATCAATGTAGACAGGAATAAACGTAGGTCATCCTCTGGCTGCAGTCTTGACCGCTACTTGCATTTGATCAAAGTAAGTATTAATACAATTAAAATAAAGGGCGGTGCCGGCTGTCAGTGAGCCGTCAACGGCGCGCTGACGATCGGCCGTTCTGTGATTCTCCAGAACACACAGATGGCCAGTCCGCCCGTGATCATACTTCCTCCGTTTTCTGCCAGACGCTGTCTCCTCTCTCACTTTAGGTAACTTCACTAAAAAAATCGATCCATGTTGCCGCTCGCATTAACTAGCTAGATTTCACTGTTTGTCGTTCTTTTTTTCTCACGCTGCGCCTCCCCTGAAGCTCTCTGGAGCCCCCCCGGGGAGGCGCGCCTCACGCTTTGAAAACCGCTGAGATAGAGTATCACCAAACATAATATTGAGATACTTAAGTGATGTAGCTCTGTTCAAATAAACATAGAAACCACTTCCTCACCCCCCACAAAATGTATAAAACAAATAAGAAAGGTTGATGTAACAGCGAGAAACACTAAAAACTGTGTGCTTACAGGAATACATCCTGATGAAATCATCATCACTGTCATGCAGCATCTGGGCCGGCTTAAAGCACATGTTGGAAGCCTTTGTTCTCCGATACGCTTTATATACTGAGTGTTCCCATGGGCCCTGACAGGCTATTATACATTAAGGTGTTCCTGCTATATTTGCTTTGATAGGCAAAACCTTCAGACATGCAAATCAGTGGATAGGTTACATGAATCCATCAGTTCATATCATCTCAGTACAGCGAGGAGCTGCTCTGAATATTCATGTAGTTTACAGTAGATAACAATTAAGTGCTTTAACATTAGAAAAATAGACAGAAATGCTATAACATAACTATTTTAATAATTGATCAAGCAAAAATGGCAGAAAATGTAAATATGGACATTTCCTGATTTCCTTGGTTTTTATATACAATTAAATTAAAACAAAATTAAACTATCCCTGGGTTTTGGACTGACATAACAAGACATCTGGACTTTGAGAAAATAGAAGCACATTTTTATATCCTGACATTTTATAAACCAAATAATGAATTATAATAATATAATATAATAATCAGCACAATGAATTGATGTCGCAGCCCTAATCCTATTATCTTCAGCTGTTAACTTGAGTATATTACTTGACAAAATCACTGTTATCTCCAAGAAATAACCGACTTAAGTCAGATCTCAAGACAACATGATAACAAGCTTCTGGTTTCTGTGCCATGTAGTTTGGTGTGGTAAAAGACGGTCTGAAAGAGCTACACAATGTATCAGATGGCTTTTTGCTCTGCTCTGCAGGAAAACACTTACACAGGCATGTAAAACGCAAGATGACTTCCTACCTGTATGCATCATTGGAACGACCAGCAGCGAAGTTATTGGCTGCTGGGTAGATCTGTGTGGCGGGGGTAGAGGTGGAGGGCAGGCCCTTGGTCTGATCGGGGCCTTGGAAGAGAGAGGGGTACAGCTCGCGCTTCTCCAGGCTATTGCTGTGGGCGGGTCCCGCTGCTGTCACCGACAGCACCGGCACCTGAGGACCACCAGAAACACTCAGTCAGGGGTCACTCTCTTTAAAACTCTCTAAGTGGTGAAACATTGGCCCGACTGAAATGTTGATATTGATCTTAATTCCTAAATGAACCAAGGCATGAACACAGAGTTAAATACAATTAGGAAATCTTCGAGACTTAAAAGCTCTATAACAAAGTATAACTAAGGGTTAGCTGAGGTCGAGCATGAACAACAGGAAGTCAGTTGTGATACTGGGTTCCCCCCGACATCCGTTTGTGTTTTCCTGCTGAACAAACAATCAACATCCTGCAACCGTTTTCATAAGAATGCCTGACCGGTCATTTCAGCAACATCCTGAAGATCTATGCTCGGATCAAACTGCACAAGTACATTCATGTGTCACCCATGGGTGCGTTGCCTAACCTGTGAGAGGGCGATCGGTCTGGCCTCATACAGACCGTCTCTGGCTCCGCCTCCTTCCAGCTCCGCCTGCTGCTGCTGTAGCTGCCTGAAAAGGGAAACCAGAGAGAGAGAGTGGGTCTAAAATAGCCTCATTTCCATTTTCAAGCCCCTCCACTGTTGAGTGAGAAAGCCCAAACACCTGCTGTCAAAATAGCACCGCCACCGGTCACCATGGCAACATAAAAGAGAACGAGGAGAGAAGAGGAAGACAGAGACACAAAAGGTCTGTTATACAAACGCGTAGCGCTAACATGATGCTACACCACCTGTGTTCAAACCTCCATATTATCTACCAACTATTACACATGCTTCCTATCAGAGAACAGCACTATTATTTTAGAGATGCACCGACTGCTATTTTCTTGGCCGAAGTCTTGCACATTTTTTCTTCTTTCTTTCTATTTGAGAAACAACCAAAAATGTAATGTATGCCAAGTGATACCACAATACATGCCCTTCTTGTTTTTAAGGTTGTTTGTCCACAGCTTTTGTTGGACTTGCGTGTGTAAAATTGTGAGCTTTATTTATTCTTCACTCGTGCTGGAGTAGTTCCACACAGACGAGATGTTGCCAGTGTGGCTGTGATGTTACTGTCTGTCTGTGTCTGTTTTGTGTGTGTCGCTGTGTGTGTGTGTGACGTAAAACCATCACGCAGCACAAATTCATCGGACAATCTATCGGAGCATCTCTACTATCTTCGTACTACTACAGGAGAACAGAGACAAACGAGAAGAATCACCCAGAGTGGAAAAGGAAACAAATACAGAGGGAGTGTAGCTTGCTCTAAACAGCAGTTGTCTCCCAGGAAGAAGCAGCCCCTGTTCTCCCATGCGGGGGGGGGGGGGGTAGTCAGGCCTGGTCTCACCTGCCGGCCATGTGCCCCGGACTGAGCATTACAGGAGGGCAGCTCGGGCTGCCCTGACCCAGGGAGGGGGGCAGCGAACCCCCTGGGGAGGAGATGGGAGTGAGGGGGTCCTGAGTCGAGTTTCTAATGGCCCACAATCAGAGATGGGCAGAGGAGGGGGGGGGGAGAAGGGTCAGTGTGTGGCTTATGAAAGTGGTTGGCGTGAGAGGAAGTGGGGATCGAGGGTGACAGGGAAGCATTCAGACAGAGGGATCTTACACAACAGTGACATTTCAAAACGTCAATGGTTTCATTATGGACTGTATTTAATTGTGTAATAAAGTTACACAATCAGCAGTATTGATAAAATCAGCGTGGGACTCACTTGACATTAACATTGGTGCAGATGATATACTCAATCTCCTCTGAGAACGGGTTCTGGAAGGTGAAGAAGCTGGTTCTCATCAGGTTCCACTCTCTGGATTTGGAGCGAAACCGAAACATGACTGACATGACCTGGCCCTTCAGCTTCACCACCTGCGGACACAGCAAGCAGTCACAATCTGGGGTTTTCCTTGAGCATATCTTTCATTTTCATCTTGCATTACTCAAGTTTTACTGCAGGAACATTTGTGTTAATTCAAGTGGCCGAATTCATCTGGTTCACTACAGCGGAGCTAATGCTTTTGTTTAAGCTGAAGACTGAAGTAGTGCAAAGCAATTACGTTTTTGTCATGTCAATTTAAATAACTGCATTCTTTCAAACACCCACAGAAACAGAAGGGATGTTCAGATTCACCAGGGAACTACAAAACAGAACTAAAGGCCATTTACTTAGACATTTTAATCTGACTTCTAATGTATCTACATACAATGCTGACACATGTAGTCATATTTTCTTTAATCCTTTTAAGTGCTTGTACAAAAAAAAACTGAAATTAGAATCGAGTCCTCGAAAAGCTGCACATATTTAGTCAGTCCTACCTGTTGGAAGCCGTCTCGCAGTAAGCCCTGGTCTTCAGCGTGGGCGAGATCCAGAATACTCTTCCCCAATAATTCCTGCAACACGCAGCAGAAAAAAACAAAACACCATTAGCACAAAGGTTGTTGGAGGATGCATTCTCTCCCTGACATTTCCTCCGGCTGAGTGTTACCTGGGGCTGGTAGCCGACAGCGGCTAAGCAGCGGTGATCCACGAAGGTGAATATGCCCTGACAGTTATGGCGCGAGATGAACTCCACCGGAACACTGAGGCTGTTGACGTCTGTGTCACCCGGGCAACAAGTCACCTTAAGGAAAAATGAAAATGAAAAACTGCATTAGCATTATGACCTAAAGGATGCAAGCTACCAGACTATGCTATATATATATAGCGCTTTTTTCCAAGTGCTCTAAGCGCGTTACATTACATATATTAAACATGTAATACATTGAGTACTGTGGACAATATCCACAGGATCAATTTAGGGTGAAGAGTCTTGCCCTGCAGTTTGTTAAAGATGCATACACGTCTGCAGTTAAGATGTAAAGATCCATACCAAAAGTTACATTTCCATAATGAATGACTTTTAATTATGCAACTCTCCTAAGCACAGCAGACAGATGTGCCTATGGACCCACCAGGCATCCCTCATACCTGTAATCTCCCAATGGCAACCAGACAGTAGCGACTCCCCTGAGTGTTGTCCGAGTCATCGTCTGCTAGGGAAACTCCTAAAACATGCAAAAATATATATTAGCATGGAACACAAGGAATAACTTATACAAATGATTTTTCAAGCATCACTTTACAGGTCCCAGCAATATTATGAAGTACATGAAGTGACTGGTTTTACCTGAAGGAGGCCAGGACTTGATGTATCCTGTACAGTGGACCACTACATACTGGGGCTCCCCTTCCTTGGCTGTAGCCAAACCATTCCTGAGGTGATGGAATAAATGATCAAATACACAGCAAATTCAATCAGTCCTGTTACTATGACATATGTATACATTAGGCTTAGTGCATCTCATTGCTTCCTGGCAATGGGGGTTGCTTATATTCTGCACAGTTATCACAATGAAATAAACAAAAAAAAAACTGTTTTGTTTTGTTGTCACCTGTTTCTATTCCTCAGGAAGTTCAGTCTGTTCATGGACAACGGTTCCACAGGACAAGAGCCACACCTGCAAATACACACAGGCCGACACACAGTTATGTATCAACACACACATTGATAGAAATAATGAAATGGATAATTAACAGTAGCGTGAATCACACCTCATTCTGCAGATGAATGATCGTCGGGCTCCCATACTCATTCTGGCGGACGACGGCTGGCCTTCCTTCTTCACTGTTCCTGTCTTCAAGTCCAACATCCGCCCTATAAAAGCAAAGAGACGACAAAATGGACTCAATTTTGGGAGTAATGTTGTGACCATGCAACAACTTTTTTTATAATGACAAACACTTTTGAGATGAATAGTGTATCGTTGTACCTGTGTTGTTATTCTCTGCAGTAGAGAGCTGCTCTCTGAGCTTCTCTGTGTCGTCAGGGTGCAGCTGGTCGTACAGGGAGGACCCCAGCCACTCAGACTGAGCCTGGTTGAGGACGGGTGTCAGGGAGTCAGAGACGTAAACAATGCGGCCGGTCTCACATGACACCACGAACAGGAAGCCGTCGGCTGCCTCCAGGATGAGGTGCTTCAATTCCTGTAGAGAGATGGCAGGCCATTCATAAGTAAAGTGATTGTCATTTCATTTTTTGTGATTAACCCACTTTTAGAACACCCAAATCCCTATATATAAATATATATATATAAACGCCTCCAGCTGCTTTACAAACAACTTTTTAACTACTGTCCAGTTTCTGTCTCCTGCATGCCACACACAAACAGAGACATGCACATCATGTATTAACAAGATGGTCTGGCAGCAATCTAACAAAACTGAGGAGTTAAACTTGTTCAAAATATGTAATTTAAAAAAAGAAGTATAATTAACTAGATTAACCACTTTATTCAGATTATAAGGATATTTGTTTAAGGATGTATTTGTTATTCGTTTTGCACTACAGGTTAAATGCTAAACTGCATTTTGTTGTCTCAATACCTGTACGCAATGAAGATACAATTAAATCGAATCCAACCGTATCTATGAACCATGGGCACTGTCATTGCTGTTTACACTGTGGACCTGGAGAGGGGTGTATGTGTGCTACCTCTATGATAGTGACACCAGTTACTTCTATGCACTTTTCAGCAAGGAGCCCAGGAGGCTCACTTACAGTAAATTACAGTCATTGTGTGTTCATTAAGTTCCTTTTTGAGCGATGTACATGTTGACCAAGAATACGGTGAAATGATTCACAGCAAATTGTGTTTACACTAGTAAGGTCAATGTGCTACTTTAGCTGCTTTTTCACTTGATTTCAATTGAGCTCACAGAGGTTTTGTGTAAACAGTGGGACTTTGAGACCTTTGTATCAAATGACTGCCTCGTCTAAAATTGCTCCACAATCTGAACATACCTTCAGCAAGTTTAAAGATCCCCCCCTGAGAATTCAATCAAACTCAATTTAGTAGACTTTCTTCTTACATTTCACATCTCAATATCTATATTTCCCTGCCTCTGTCAGTTGCTCTTACCTGGTCAGTGAGAAAGGAAGGTTTGTATGATCCATCCGAGTTGGTGTTGCCACTTCCTCTCAGAGACTTCATGTGAGACACGGCCATTCGGAGGATGGTTAGTTTGTCTGGTTTCCGTGCTAGTGCACTGCAGGTGGGCACCATGTCTGACAATTCAGTGATGTAAGCAGTCATCTTGTTCCTCCGCCGCCTCTCAATCTCACTGTGGTTCTCCCTGAAGAGGAGACGAGACGAGGGAGGAAGGAGGAGGTACAGAGGATAGGAGGGGTTGAGATGGGGGAAACAGATGGGCAGGTGGACAACATGGAGTAGAGTTTAGAGTAAATGCTGCAATGCAAGTATGCCAATCAAAGAAGTGGAGGGAAAGAGAGAAAGTGAGAGAAATAATGGACGCAAAAAGCTATAAAATAATTGATGTAAAGAAATGATAGCGAGACAGCAAGAGAGACTGGTTTGAAAGGCCAGTTGGTGTGACAAAAGAGAGCAAGTGCAGAACGAGAAAGACCATTTAGAAGTCCTGAGAGAGGGAGAAAGGAGACAGAAGGGACAGTTGCTCAAGGGGAAAGGATTACCAAAGTGAAAAAGGTCCTTGAGTCACACACAGCTTAGCAGTTAGTTACGCATAACACAGTGTTGGCCTGACAGACACAGCCAGCTGCTTTGGGCAAAAAAGCAAAGCATTCTGGCGGGCACCAAAACAGATGCAAAGAGCAGCAAAAAATACCAGTCATTTTGTGCTGTCTAAATGATGATATGGGGTCCCGACAGGACAGGACTTATTTGCGCATTCAATATTGATGTGGATACAAGCAGGAGAAGGAGCCTTCCAAAGTGGTACCTGGCTTGTTTTTCCTTATCTGCAAAACTCTGATGCTCTTCAAAAAACATGGAAATGAAACCAACCCACTAAAACACAGGCCCGAAAAATAACAAAATAAAAATAAGTGCAAGGGTTCAACAACTATTGGAAAGGAGAGGGAGAGCGGCACTGGGGAAACTGTTGTATCAATAATGTTGTTCCTCTAGTCTACACCCACCCCCCCTACCTGGCAAAACGCTCTTTGTCATTTCCGCCTCCTGATTCATCGTCACACCTAACAAACAAAAAAGAGAAAACCTTTCTTACTATCGAAACAGCCCAAACAATCCCAACACTTGATCTATCACTTCTTCTTTTTTATAATGACAGGAAAACAGAGAGAAATGTACCTGAACAATTTGTTTCCATCATCATCATCATCATCGTCATCAAAGTCTGGCCTGTAATAAGGAGAAGAGAGACACATCAGTAGTTTCACATAAATATTCTCACAAGAACTTTGACCAAGAGTACAAATAAAACTAAACCAGTCAGCAAATTCTCACACAATACTGACATATTAGCAGTGGTGTAAGAAGTATACACATCCTTTCGTAAGTGAAACAACGAAAACCACTGTCAAAATGATCCAATAGAAGAACAATTCCTACTTACTTAAGTAGAAATATGTATGTCTTATCCTTAAAATGTACTTAAAGTATAAAAAGTCGAAGTCCTTATTATACAGTTAAATGTGCCCTGTCAGTGTTTTACGATTTAAGACTATGTTATATTACTTTATTTAAAAAAAACGACATTCTCTACTGTTAGGTATTTCATCTACATCAATGCATTATATGTTATATATCCCATGAAAACCCTGTTTCCCTGAAGTGAAATTAGTTCATATAACAGTCCTGTTTTGAGCTTTGTGACGATGCTTCTTCTAGAAGATCCATAATGGTTTTAAAGCAAATATTAACTGTTTAGTTTTTTAGTTTATTTGTAAAATAATGTTCAATCCTTTGTATTTTCGCTGGACAGGAAGGGCACAATTGTAATCTGAAAGCAAATAGCAACGACAACATGTTTTACTCTGAGATGTAGTAAAGACAAAATATAAAGGGGAAAAACTCAAGAAAAGGAAAAGTATCTCAAATTAGTAATCGATTACAGCAATGGAGAACATTTATTTAGGTTATTTCCACTACTTTATATCAGCACACTGTTAACACTACCACACAAACACTTACGCAGCTCTTCTTTTGTTGGTCCCTTTTGGTACAACAGCCCCGCCACTTCCTTGGGTCCCACTTGCCCCCATACCCAGATTAGGGTCTGGCAACTCTATTTATAACACAGAGGCACAGAAAGACGAAATGTAGCAGGGTTGACAGGTGATTTCCTACTGAGCCTCAAGCATTCAAAAAGGAAACTAAACCTATACACATAAAAGCCAAGTTAGGATAAACGAACACAACTGACAATGGGTTTATTTCACAACCTGTGTATTCATCAGCATTAAGTTAGCTTCACGTCAACTATTATACTTTGAGTATGAATGTTGTAGAGAGCTCACACAGCCACGACACTAAGCTAACGTCAAGGCTACATGCAGAAATCAATCATGTGAGCCACATTACCTAAAAACAGAAACCAAGCTAGCAAACCACAGCTAAATTAGATGTTGGTTAATCTCATTGAGCCATTCAACATATCACAGCAGAGCTTTTTTTAACAGTCAATTCGCTAATGTACCAGGTTAGCATGCTAACACTTATGCAATAACCAGCTAGCCTTGCTGTGGCATTAGCTTAGCTACTAAGCTAACTTAGCCGATGCAGTCACGCTATCTTTAGGAAAGTGTCCTCTTTAGCTATAAACGTCCATAACCGGTGTAAACAGATGCACATGAACATGAATACGTGACGTAATAGTCGCTGTGACTTTTATTGCACTTTACCTTGGTTTGAAGAGGACATGTCCGTTTCGAATAACATAAACAAACAACTTCGGCTGCGGAAAAAAGATCCTCCAAACCCCCACCCCCGCCCCTCCCCCTTGCTAGCAGGGTAGAGGCTAACAAGTGCCTCACAGATTTCCTCACGTATGCGCCTTTATTTTCAGATATAAACGCCCAAAACGACGACTATATCTATTCCGGGGAGACCCGAGTGGATTTACAACAGAAGCGAAAATAACAGTTTATGTCCTCTTTACTGTTTTCTCCCGGTTTAGGTTTAAACCCCCATATCTGTTCAAGATGGCGTTTCAGTCTGTTAGGTGAACTGTTGGGAAATCCATGTTAAGCCCCGCCCCGCCGGGAGGGACACGCAGGTCTGTAAAGTTAAAGCACCCCTGTTTACAGAGGTGCGAGGCGAGCACATGTGACAGGCTGGGACTGTTTGGCAGTGGTGGGAGAAGTACTAACAGGTATTTTACTTTATAAAGAAACAATACCACCATGAGAAAATGCCCCACAATAACAAAAAGCCACGCTTTAACAATCTTACTTACGTAAAATAATAGCAGTGTTAGCATTACAATGTATTTAAAAGCACCAGAGTAAAGGTGCTCATTGAAAGAGTGCTTAAGAAGTAATCTCTATATCAACTCCGGGTTTTTATTAGAGTCTTTGCTCTAAATATGACCAAAAACAAAAGATGATGGGTCTTATTTCCGACTGCTGATATGCTTTAATAGTTATAGTTTGCCATGCCTTTACTAGAGGCAACATTAAAATGATGCCTGGGCAATAATAGTTAGACTATTATTTAATATATATATTATTCAGGAATGAGTCAGTATATCAATCTTACTAATTATTTTAGAACAATTCCAAATGTTAATAATAATAATAAATTGTATTTGTAAAGCACCTTTCATTGCTAAAAGCAATCCCATAGTGCTACAGGAGGCGTAATAGAAACAAAAGTTTAATCAAAGGCTTTTTTAAAACAGCAAGGTTGTTAGGCCTGTGGAGTCCTCAGGTGGTCTGGGAGGGAATTCCACAGGTGAGGAGTAGCTGCACAGAAAGCCCGATCCCCCATTGTGCAGAGTTTGGTCCTGGGGGGGCGAAGCAGACGGTTGGTTGTGGAGCGGAGGTTGCGTGTGGAGGTTTGTGATGTGAGTAGTTATTTGAGGTATGAAGGAGCATTCCCGTGGATGCACTGATGGGTCAGTAGTGCGATCTTGTATTAGATCCCGAATGAGACAGGAAGCCAGTGGGGGGAATAAAGAACGGCTGTGATGTGGTTGTACTTTCTCACCCTCATCAGGATCCATAGCGGCACTGTTCTGTACGTATTGGAGCTTCTGAAGGCTCCCGCTAGGAGTCCCGATGAGGAGATCGTTGCAGTAGTCTAGCCTTGAGGAAACGAAGGCATGGACCAGTTGTTCAGCATCTGCAGGGAGAGTGTGGGACGGAGTTTTGCAATGTTCCTGAGGTGGTAGAAGGAGGTTTTGCACAGGTGTTTGATGTGGGTGTCAAAGGTCAGATGTCGGTCAAATCTTACACCCAGGTTGATAACTGATGCAGAGAGGGGTATGTTTTGGCCAGAAAAGGTCATGTGGGTTATGGGGGATGACTGGACCTGGTTTGGTGTGCCAACTAAAATAGCCTCTGTTTTGGAGCTATTAAGCTGCAGGAAGTGTTGTTGCATCCAAGCCTTTATCTCCTCAAGGCAGGAGTTAAAGGATGCTGATGGGAAGGGTGATGGGATAGGGTATGTCTTTATATATAGCTGCGTGTCATCAGCCAGCAATGGAATGATATGCCATGCTGGCTGAGTGATGACACGACCAAGGGGCAGAGTGTAAAGGGTGAACAGAGTGGGTCCGAGGACCAACCCTGGAGGGACACCACAGGTGACAGGGTGTGTCTGGGACCTCGCACCTCCCAAGGAGACGTAGCCTACTCTGTTCTTCCAGACAGGTAGGACTGGAACCAGCTCAGGGCGGAGTCAGAGAGTCCGATGGTGTATTGGAGGCGCTGAAGGAGGATGTTATGGTCGACAGTGTCGAATGCTGCAGTCAGATCCAGGAGGATGAAGAGAGATGGGGAACCAGTGTCAGCCGCCATCAGCAGGTAGTTTGTGACCCTGACCAGAGCTGTTTCAGTGCTGTGGGTGGAACGGAAACCGGACTGGAATTTCTCAAAGAGGCCGTTTAGTTGGAGATGGTCCTGAAGCTGGGCGGCAACTACTTTTTCCAGCACCTTGGCTAGAAATGGGAGGTTGGAGATGGGCCTGTAGTTGGCGAGGACATCTGGGTCTAGGGTGTTTTTTTTTAGAAGGGGTCTGATGACGGCAGTTTTAAGAGCCTTAAGGGAGCTGTTGATGACGTCGGTGATCATGGGAAATGTTCAATGTGTAGGGTGTTAGCAGACATGATGCACACATACAAGGGCTTTCGCTGTGATTCATGATTTTTGTTTTTATTATTAATAACAATACTTAGGCATCATTAAACAAACGAATACAAAATAAGAAACAAATAACACTGTAATTGGGACACAGCTGCCTCTGTATCCCTGGAGACGAGAGGTTGCTGGTTGGTCGGGGTTAGTAAAAAAGAATGTGGCGGTGGAATGAGGGTGAGTTTAAAAGAAGGGACATTTATGAAGAAGAGGAGTGGGCGATGGATGAGACAGCGGAGGATATGCTAGACTCAGAGTTGGATCTATGATGTGGAGACAGGAAAGAAAACTAGAGGACATGAAGTGCAGGAGAGAGAGCTTCTTATACATTACGGATAAGGCACTTGCCGTACAGACACATGTAAAGCATAACAAACAAACTGCAACACTCATTTATTGAATCCATCACAATTCTCAAACACTTAACTGCTCAAAATAGTTTTTAATGTAATTTACCTCCTTAACATCAAACAACAGTACCTGTAAAACCGGTTTCATACACACAATCATACCTAAAATCATTCATTTAGATCAACAATTAAATCTCTAACCCAGGTACACAAACATAACCCATGCTACAAGGCAGTGAATCAAAGAAATCTGGCCCGTATTTGTAAAAACTGGAAATGGCTTATTTGTCCGATTTCATTAGATTTATTAAAACTCCTGAATTTCAGCCCACCTCATCCATCTTCAGCGGGTGGCAGCATCGGCGTGATTCAAAACTAGACTGGATTGAACAGCTTCAAACCAGAGAGATACAAAATATTCAGCATCCTCAAAACTAGCAGGAAGCTGTGATTTATATTGCAGTGTTAAGAATGATAACCTTTGCAGGTTAGATATCAATTGTAGAAAGGGAATTGCAAATAAAGAGCTATGCTGGATGAAGAATACAGAACAGAAATTAGAAACAAGAAAGCACATTTCTTGATGTTTATCTACAAAACTGACACCAAATGTACTCTTTAAAACTTAGGCAGTTTTAATGGCAGAGGCCGCATTGGAGAGCAGAGGCACGGCAGTGCTACTGCAAGTTATTACAGTATTTAAAAAAACGTGTGCAAAGACTTTGCAATAGCGGAAAACACTTACGTAATTGCATAGACAGAAAATTAGGGAATGAAATGCCCTATTATCTCACTTTCATTCTCTTTTGTTCTTTTATTAAAAAACAGAAAAGGTGCAAGAAATAAAGCAAAGCGTGATTAAAGTAGAAAGCTTTTTAAAAATGGCATTTTAACAGCCATTAGCTGGCTCTAAGGCACATAGAACAAGGAAAGCTAAAGTAGAAGCAGCATCACCCCCCTCCTCTGTCCGTTTTCTCCCCTGTCTCTTTGAAATGGTGACAACACACACTGACAACTATACATTTTCAATAGTGACAAAGCAAATAAAGCCATGCCACTTAATGTAGTGTATATCATCGGCTGGATCTCCGTGTTGTCTAAATGTACGAATGAACGTGTGATTGTTTTTGTGTTGTGCAAAAGTAACAGTGTCAACTTTCCTCTGGATTTCTGCTGTTGTTGGTTTTAAGGGAATGACTGGCCCCCCAATCTTCTTTTTCTCTCTTTCCATCCCTCCCTCTGGCTCCCCTACTGAGGGATATGAGTCCATCTCACATTCCTTCTTCCTGACACTTGTTTGCTTTCACTCTATCTTGCTGTGGTTGTTGTTGTGGACTGTGTGACCGTTCTGCACCGGCCCGTTCTTCCTCATGTCCTTTTTAGCCTGCTCTTCCTCCTCTTCTGATTCATCCGTTTCATCTTTGTCACTCCTTTCATCGTCCACTTTTTCCTGGAAAAATAAAGAAAAAAGGGGGAAGAATATGTAATTAATCCAATGCTCAAACTGTACTGGAGCTCTGGCCAGTGTCAGACAAACTCAAACCATCCAGCCGCATGTATTTAAATGTAAGTGTGTGTGTGTGTGTGTCCTGTGGACAGAAAGGACAGATACTATGTTATCAATGTCTCCATTGTTAAGTGTGTGTGTTCTGTGATGTTGGTAGCTCTGAGGAAAACAGAAAGAGATACGACCGCGGCATCTAAAATAATATTTATTGGAAACACTAAAGGGGAAAACATATCCATTTCTGGTTTATAGGGGATCACATTTTGCAGTTTTGAGGCTGGTTCTACTGCATATGTGAAAAAAGTTGTATTAAGCATGTTGTACCTTTTATAAGGGGTCTGCATGCAATCTGATTAATTGCATCAACGTTACTTGTGTTAGCATCGGTTTGTTTTGAAGACTTAAGGTTTGATAATGAACACATGCTGGTGTGGACCTCAGGCACTCTCCAGTTAACAACTAATTGTACCTTCAAACCGCGGATTTTTATGATCATCGATATAAAAAGATACACTTACACCACTACAGATTTTCAAATGAAATGAAATCTCAAAATGACAATCGTATCATTAAAATGTGAAAGAAGTACAAATAGAGAGTGCAATGCTTTAACTGTGAGCTCATATCCTCTCTGTGATAACACCTAATCTATAACTGCACCTTATTTCACAGCTTACACTTGAAATAAATCTTCAGTACATTTTAGGTGTCAAGTCTTTACACTAAGACATTTTTTCCGTTTCTCTATATTCAACAACTTTCGCTTACACTGACTATTCCAGCTTAATTGAATTCTTAACTTCTCAACCACTGTGAGCACTTTCACCTCCCTCAGAGCTTACACTAAAACTTCAATATCTTAGAGGAACTTTATTTAAACTTCAAAACCGTTTAAAATGTTTTACCTGGAGACTTTTAGTGAGCTGAACTGTAAGTATAATTATTGGATTATTAAACATTTTTTGTCTTATATCTTTATTTACGGAGATGTAAGTTTCAGATATTTTTGGATGTTACATCGTGGCTTTATGTTTCTTTGTTGGCTTACATTGTGGGTGAGGAAGCGAATTGCCATGCGTATGATGAGCACCGCCCAGAAGATATGAAGACACTGCAGAACCATCAGAAGTCCGTTGAAAAAGTAGTAGCCGAAGAAGGGTTCATACATGGTCACTGGGTAAATCCACGTACAGTAAATAATCCTGCAGAAGACAGAGTAGGAATAGATTGCTTAAATAACATACATATTTAAATTACGATAACACATAGAAACAAATGTTTGAAACGTGTGAGTGTACCAGAAAGGGAAGATGACCAGTCGACTGATAATGAAGACTGCAGCAAATACGATGAAGATGTAGTTACAAGCATTTCGCCACCCAGCATAGTTGAACATCTTTGCAGACTGTCAAGAGGGATAAAGGAGAGGTTGAACAATGTAAATGGCAGATGTTACCCCGATTCAACTTGATCAGGGTAACATGACAAGACAAAGTGAAGTTTCCTCCACAGGGTGGCAGTGTTTTCCATTCGGTGACTCTTGTGGACAAGTCTTCAAAAAATGAATGTTTACAATCTAAACTGCTTTTCTTTTTGATAGGGACAAATGTCACTCACACAAAATATGATGAGGTGATTATTCACATGTAAACCAAACCACTATGAATGGATGAGCATCTATGATATATAATAGAAATACATTTACCTCAAGGAAATAATCAGAGGAGTCGTGAACCAGCATGATGAGAGTTCCAGCACGGATATAGTTAACACACCAGGAGAAGCTGATGAGGAGGATTGTCGCCACATGGTGAACGATCTGCTCCTTGAAGTCCTACAGAGACGGGAGAAATGGTTGTTAAATAGAGAAAAGCAAGAGGCTTTCAGCCGCTTTCATCTTTTACTTTGTTGTGTGTTATTCTTTATTTTTTCAATATTCAATCAATATTAGTACAACAACCCAAACTGGAAGTATATATATTTGAGTTTGCATGATTTTTTTGTTGGTTTGAAGTGGTAAATCCTGCTTAAGGATTCTAGGTTAGAATAATGTGTTGGAGAAACACATTGTTCTTCTTTTGCAAGATCTCCCCACTGCTGTGCTCAGCTGATCGCAGCTGAGCAAAGTCCAAACAATTACACACACACACACACACACACACACACACACACACACACACACACACACACACACACACACACACACACACACACACACACACGTACACACACACGTGTAACAACGGTCTAATGTCCTGCTAACAGTCCATGCTAGATGTCAAACTGATCAGATAGTAAGAAAAGACTTTGAGTTCCTCTCTGTTCCACTTATCTTAATGTCATAAACGTCTAAAAGTGCAATACTACGTTTATGAGAACAGTTATTTGTTAAGAAATATCATCAAAATATAGTACCTTAATTAAATGTACTTTTTCATACATATTACTGCATTTTTGTTCATAATACATTCATTGATTAATCACTTTATTGTTGTAGCTGGTAAAAGAGAAGCTGTTTTACTACTGGAAGGCTTAACTTGTAATACTATATCATAATTCAATTACTTTTCTATATTTTCTATTAATAACCTAAATGGGTCTAAATGTTTACAGACAAAAGTGGGGTAAAAAGTACAATATGACCCTCTGAGATGAAGTGGAGCAGAATTAATGAGTTGCATAAAATGGAAATATAATTACCTCAAAGTTGTACTTAAGTACAGTACTTGAGTTAATGCAGTTATATGCATTCTAGCGCTGGAACTATGGAGGAGAAGATATACATGACTTACTTTGCGTTTGACATCAGACGCCACACTGACGAGCAGAGAGCCGTAGAAACCCAGCTCAATCATGTAGTACCAATACTGAGAGGGTAGGAGAGTCTGTAGGAGAGGAAACAGAGCACATTCATATTGGGAATGAAGCTGCAACTAACCACTATCATCACTTTTAATAACTTATCTTGTTGTGATTATTCTCTTGATCTTTCACTTATTAGTTCAGTCTACAAAAATGTCAGAAATGAGCTGAAAATGTCCATTACAAGTTCTTAAAGCCCAGGTAAGATTGCTTGTATTGTGAGTCAAAGGCTCAAATATATATTAATGATCATAGAAGGCAAAGACAAATACTAATCATATCAGCTCTATCTGGAGCTCTGTATTTTTTCAGTACATTCCAGCAGTCAAAAATAATAATTTAAAGTTATATAATTAATCAAAATGCTGTTTTCAGCTTCTTAAATATGGAGATTTCCAACTTTACTGTTTGATATCATATTTAACTGGATATCTTTGGGCTTCAGACAAAACAAGACATTTAAAGACCCTTTATTCAGAGAAACTGGGATGGACATTTCTCCCTTTTTTATTGGACCAAACGTCTAGATCTAAAAAATAATCTGCAAATGTATGGATAAATAAAACAATCAGTAGTTGCAGTCCGACGTTGCACCTGACAGACTTGTAGTTTATAGATGTGTGATGTCTCTCAAAAGCCAACAGTCATATATAAAATACATTTGGTTGGGTAGATATAATATTCTTTGAAGCAGACTATTTGATATTTTATTGAATGCCTTTTATTTGCAGACAGACACTGGTGTACATTCAGTGTATCCATCCCAAAAACGTACCAGCACAGGAAAGCCTTGCCACATCTCCTTCAGGTCGTACAGCCAGGGTTTCTGGAAGGAGAGAAGCCATGAGAATGAAACAGCATGCTCGGCAGGTGTATTTATAATAACTGACTCAGCATGGCCGTAAGTGAAGCCCTCTGACAGTGCAAGAGGAGAAGTTATCACAGCAAAAAGACGGACTACCATGGAAACTGCCATGTAACACTGGCAGGGCAGACGACGAATGATTGTGTGAACATGAGGAAGAGGAGGGGTCAGGGTTAACATGGTGGTACTCACATCGATGAGGGAGGCCAGGCCAGCAATGAAAGCAAGAAGGTAAAAGGTAAATCTCCAACTGCAAGAGAACACACACACATACAGACACACCTTCTACTCAGTCAATGGTGAAAAGACACAAGACACATTTTCTACCAGCAGACACAAAAAACACATCACAAACACACAGTGGCAAATGCACAAGAGTGCCAGTTGGCAAGAAACGCTGGGCTGAATGAACAGACAGGACAAATCTGGTGAACTGCACTGAGAATGTCAAATCAGGACACACACATACACACTGTACATACACATACACACCGTACACACCGTACACACACACACACACACACACACACACAGGGCCAAACACGTGCTGACAGACCGTATCCCCCGACAGCGAGACAGAGCAGCTCTCATACAGGTGTAAAGAGGAGATTTCACAGAGGACACACAGCAGCAGAGACAAACAGACAGAGAAACACATGAACCGAGAAGTGAACATAGAGGCGTTCGGAGTGTGTGAGTTACACCAGTCTGGAGACATAAGGGAGAGCAACAGAAAGCCTGTTGTGTGCACACAAACAACAGATTGATTCAGAAGAGAAATGTTGTAACACGCACAGGGATAGACGCACCATAACCGGGAAGCAACATGCAGTCACATGCACGGCTGCACACAAGTATCATATGCAGAAGATACATCTTCTGGAATATCACCTTTCATGCTCTCATCATACAGCAGAGGCATACACACACACCAGTCTAATTCCTGCTCTTGCAGAGTTGATTGACAGTTCACCAAAATTATAAAAACTCGAATTGAATTTGCTGCTCAGATGATTATATTGTTTTATCTCTCAGGCTACATCCATTCAAGCATTAGTGGTCAATTCTGATATTTTTTTTCTTGTTGAAATCATAACAGGATTCTTGTTATATTTTGTACTTTAAATTATTGTTAAAATATGTGCTCAGGCACTCTTTCAAAGAAATGAGCAATCCAATTTAGTCCGAACAGCTACTGACTTCATGGTGACATTGCATTTCTGTCAACTGATGTTTCCCCGCTAAAATTGTGGAACTATTTCCTTTGTTCAAGAGAAAACTGCTCACAAAGAGGACTGTGTCTTCTTGTACTTCTAGTGAAACGACCCTTTAAGTCACATTTAAAGTTGTATGGATCTGTCGACACACGAACGATGACAATGAAGCTAATGTTGACGACACTACAAATGAGTTATACAACACATCTAGGACAGTGTACATGCATATTACTAAATGTCCATGTGTCAATCCTAGTGATGCTATCTGCTGCTGTTAATGGCACTCCTAAAGATAAGATAAAGTGTAATATGTTGCCACGGTGTGAATGGTGCCAGCTAATGCTACCTAAGTTCAGTAGCCTTGCTTTATCAGCTAATGATACTGTTGGTTTAACTCTGTCTATACTCACACATCAAAATAACCAACAGTGTTGACACGGCCACTGTTGCAGAGACCCTGTGCTAATGAGTGAAGAGTGGGGGGGGCTACAGGCATGCTACCATCTGAGTGGCATTGTAATGTGCATGTTAAAAATAGATGGCTACTTTTGCCCTTGGAAATGTGCTCGTATAGCCAGAGGAACGCAAGGGTAGGCAGCTGTTTCAACCTGTTCCATAGCTTTACAGACACGTGTACACTAAGTGCTGCAGGGATGACATATTTTTGTAGGCCAACCCACAAGTAAGCACCCTGATTATCTTGAAAGGGAGCCAATGGGATTTTTCTATTGGATTTTGGATTATGGAAAGAAATAAGCTCTGTGGCACACACATTTGAATGATACACGGTTTATTCTGCAAAATAATATATTTACAAATAAACACCTCTTCGAATTTTTACATTTCTCATTTAGCCACTTGTTAAGTATTTTGTATCATTGTGTGTGTGTGTGTGTGTGTGTGTGTGTGTGCGTGTGTGATTACCTGGCCTCTCGAAACCTTTTGAGCAAACTGGGTCTGTCCTGGTTCCTTCGTCTCCTGAACCACCTCTGCACTTGTCTTTCTGAAAAGCCGGTCTGCTTGCAAAGACTTGCTATTGGCGTCTGAAAACAGCACAAAGGCCTTAATTAAGTATTTAATGTTCTAAAAACACACACAGCATTTCTAAGTGTGCATAGGTGAGTGCAAACATGTACCTGTTTGGGGTTTTTGGTAATGTTACAATAGTAGGACTCCAGTGTGGGGTTGTGAGGGACTTGGAGCCGCACTGTCTCTTTCACCCCGAGCAGAGAAGCTAGAGGTGTAGCCACCGTTCTGCAATCACAAGAAGGTTGTCAAGAATTAGGGTTAAAAGGAGATGAAATGAAGAGAGAGACAGGTATCTACATGGAACAACATACTGACATTTGAGCTGATTGCAGAGTCAGATGTTTATCTGCAGTGTTTCATCGTTTTGGCACTGGTTAAGTGTTGTTCTAGTTTTAAGAGGTTGGACTCGGACAAAGCTGGCATGCCCAGCTGCCGAGCAACAGCCGACACAACACGACCCAGCACGAGGGAACAGACCGACAGGCACGATTTATTTACAAAATAAAACATTTCAAAAATGTTGCAATGTGGGAGTATTGCACTCATCTCAGAGTAAGATTAGCAACATTGAGTTTGTAAGAAATGTTTGAGATCGACTTGTATATTGTAGAAATACATATTGTTATGAAATGTTGAATGATATTTTACATCCAGCTCATTTTTGTTAATGAAGATGTCTTTATTTGAGTATGAAATAACCAAAGGGCAGAGAAAGAAGGAGCAGGAGGCAGCAATCAAGAGAAGAAAGAAAAAGTAGACTGGACAGAAAATGATGTGAAAATATAGAAGCAACTGTTTAAGTTAATAACCCAAAATGTAGATGAGGCTCACAGATATCCAGTAATGCAGTGTGAAAAACGTACTGACCTTTCAAAGATCTGGCGGAAAATGAGGAATATAAGGGCGATGGGTAGTGCCACCCACAAGTCTTGGGCTTTTGCGTAGACTCTTCCATCCCGATCCTCCAGGTCAGCCCAGCCCAGGCCCTTTGGAAACCACAGCTGCTCCTGCCAGAACCAGTCGCTCAGCCCCGACAGCATCCTGCAACACAGGCGGAAACACAAGCAGTCAGCAACAACTCTACAGGCTTATTAGGCTGTACAGCTAAAGGCCCCAAAACCATAGATACACATGTTCAAGAGGTAGAGACCACACCCTAAAAAATATGGTACCACCTCAAATCTAGTCAATAGGGGCTTGCATTAGGGGCTTTAAGTTTTAGGCAGCAGCGAGACAGGCCTGGCTGTGTAAAGGGGAAGTCTGTAGTGTAGGGGAAGACATCTGCCATTGTGAATGTTTGCTCCCATGTAATTAGGAGAATTAGATGATGGCACCAGAATTTCCCTCTCATTGGAAGCCTTCCTGTAGTTTCTTTTTCCTAATGCATATAACACAGAGCTCAAGCTGCATTCAGGGAACTCAGTTCAGGAGGCTCACGTCAGGGAGGAGAAATCAGACCAACAACTGAACTCGGTGCTTTCAACACCGAGTTCAGTTTCCTAAAGAGTTGCAAGACTTTTAATTGTATTCAAATAGTTCAGAGATGAATGTTTCTGCTGCTGAGTTCAGGGAGTGGCAGAGAACGAGAGTAAAAGAGAGCTAGCATCTGAGGGATGTGAGTCACAGTCCATCCATGTGTGCTGAGCAGCGGGGACGCCCCCACACACTCCATCTCTGGAGTCCCCTAGCAGATCCACACTAACTCCCCTCCCACCCGCTGTTAGAGCCTGAGCCCTGTAACCACTTCACTTCCACTCCCATCCCTGCCCTGCTGCACCCAGCCAGTAATCAAGGGTTCCCAAAGCCATGTGGTATGCTCCCCCTCCCTCCATCATCTTTAAAATATGCTGCTGAAATAAGACTCGGATGTAAAGAACTCTGGCTCTTGACTTGGAGGGAGGGGAGCGGTGTGGTTAAACAACTTTGACAAGGACTTTTAAACAAAGATTAGATTAATGAACATTAAATAAGATTAACAAAACTAATACACTTTACTTTGAGTGAATTACACGGATTCTTCTCCAGAGTTATTGTCCCTTTTAAGTATAGGACTTTATGGCTGCAATAATATGCATTACCCAATTTAAACTGTTATCTACGGAAGAGGATTAGGGCCACATGATTTTTTTTTTTGGGAGGACAAAAAAAAAAAAAACTAATCTCACAATTCTGACTTTTTTCTCCCAAAACAAATTATGTTTTTTTGTTCTGAGAAAAAAGTCAGAATTCTGAGATTAACGTCAGAATTCTGACTTTTTTCTCAGAACAAAAAAAACCAAATTTTTTTCAAATCCTCCCACAAAAAAAAAAAAGTGGCCCTAATCCTCTTCCGTAGTTATCCTACAACATTGTACAAAAATAAAAATTGCAAAAAGTGGCCATTTAATTGTCCGGGATCTGACCAACAGTCCAAACCCCCAAAGTATACAGTTTGATATGAAGGAAGTTAATTAAATAAACATTAGTGGACTTTTTGCTTTGAAAGTGTCTTAAACAATGAGTTGATTTATTTGTACTGAACTGTTCTTTGGTGGTCGATAGACTAAACAATGAATCATCGAGTTGCAAAATATTAAATGCTGTTGAAACATACACAGATCAGATGCTAGATTATATGTAAGAGTCTAACAGTACAAAAGAAAAGAAAGATATTGTAGATAACCAGCCATTTTTCTCAAATGTCTTATATTTATATAAGTTGCTCATTAGTTCTGTAAAAAGACTACAGCTTTTGGGTTTGGATAATTATACACCATCCTTCACTAAGTCAATCCTAAAGTTACATCCTATTGCTGCTCTGACAATGTCCATGAGACAGTGTCATGCTTGAGTGTGTTGCTTATTTTCCACATCATGTCATGTTAGTCATGGCCCCCGTTTCCTGTTGCAACAGCACGGCTGGCCGAGCACTGGGCTCTTCTCCCTCTCTCTCTCTTTCTCTCTCACTCTCTCCCCTCAACTCAGGTGGTGGTGGATGCAAAGGGTGACATATTTTTCCCAATTATTTTTGCCAACTCTTCCACTTCAGTAGCATTACATCTGTCTTTTCCTGGAGTGTCCTGCCACATCTTGTGAGCTCAGCTGAACAGCTTGTGCACTCCAGAGGTAGCAGTGTAATGTAATCTGACCAAAATCAGATAATTGATTGATGAGCTTCTGAGCAGCAGAAAATATGGTTCAAAGGGCAGGAGGACTGAGTTAAGTAGACAGGTAAAGTGCTTTGACTTATCTGTGCTATAGACATGTGTTAATAATAACCAAATTAAAAACAAATTAGGTAATCAAACTCTGAATACACACATTCAGTCACCAAAAGGCAATACTTGCTTTTGAACGCTGTCGTGAGGAGGGATTTAGGATTTGTGAGAATATTTCAGGGTCTCTACTTGAGATCATCCAGTGATTTCAACATGTTAACGCTCTTTTTCCCCCACAGCTTTCGTAACAATGCATTCCATTGGCCCACAGGATCATATGATCAGACTCTGACCATATTAAAGGTCCAATCAAATTAAAGGATGCCTCTGGCAGGGGAGGGGGAAAGGAAGTATTGTCTCATCTGTCTTCCTCAATATGAGTTTATATTACAATGATTTTGTCATTTAGTAAAAATAAAATCTAACGTAAGGCTGGAAGAGCAAAGCTCCATGTGTTACTGACATGTCTCTCCTCAGCTCTGCCTGAAGCCTTCATAGACTCATAATCCAGTTTTGAAAAAATGGGAGCAAGCCTCTGAGTAAAACCTAAACAGACCAGTTGGAACCTGGTACAGAGTCTGGGAATATTTAGAGAATGTAAACATGCTGCCACCATGCCAAGAGAGCCAATCCCATTCACTTGACATGGATGAAGAACCTCTTATGGAGTCTACCAGTCACACAATACTCTGTTTATCATTATGATAGAAGACTAAGTCGAAAAGATGAACATTAGTCACAGGAAAGTAGCATTGAGTCACTCATAACATACCATCTATGTGTGCATCACTACCCATTTACTCATATCCACCCATTCTTAAAGTAATTCACTAGAAGCTGACTCATTCAAACCAAAACGTTTAAAGGAGACAGAACGCTTACACAGCAACAACATGGGAGCTAAGGGCTGAGTTGTCTGTATCTCAATTATAAGGGTCTGATAAGTCAGAGACAAAACAGCACATACTTTCAATTTACCTTTAAAATAAACTTTGATTCTATGTTGTGATGAATATTTAAAGCTAAGCTAGCTAGACACCAGGAGATAACAAGCAAAATATATAATGTCGGGATTGTTTCATTTTTAAATATTAAAGAGTGTTGGTCTGCAGGAGTTCAGATAATGTTGAAATGATTATCAAAACAAATTCTAGCAATTAAATAGAATTACACATATTCCTAAACTTAAAACATAACGGTTAAAATGATACCTTTTCCAAACTTTCAGGACTTTGTACAGACTCTGACATAGGAGCTGAAACAATGAGTCAAGCAATCAATTTACAAAACTTAATTTAGCTAATAGCGATTTTTTTCTGTCATATAGTAACCAAATATATTTGGATATGGACAGTTGGTCTGTAGGAGATTTTAAAATAGATGTATTTTAGTATTTAATTAATCAAACTATTCATTGAGAATATAAATGGCAAACTAATCCATATTAGTAATCACTATTTGCAGTTTAGAGAAAAAAATGCTTGACGGTAACACCGGATGTGGTGTCAGCTCTGTCACATACTAAACTGGCAAATACCACTTCCTTTTTATTTGAGCTAAAAACGGAATAGCTCCTCCTCGATGTCATTCACGTGTGTGTGTGTGTGTGTGTGTGTGTGTGTGTGTGTGACCTCAAACTGCAGATTACAGGTAATAGATCGATAATAGGTCAAATAAGGTCTAGATGTACTTTGTTGTCTCTGAGGGGACGTTGTTCTTGAGCCAAAGTACTACCCACAGCTGCATTTAACTTAACAATTCACAGCCAAAGGCACAGTACTAAAAGTATATCAACTTCCTGTACTGACATGCTTTGCATCTTGTGGTCAAACATGGAGTTTGCAAATCACAATACTGACAAGAAACTGACATTTTGAATGCACACATTGTTGGATTAAGTGTCAGTTCAGGAGGCTGCATGCCCTTTGCCAATGGTCGATCAGCTGTAACTCAAGTCATGCTGTGGTCATTTTGAAGGGTGACTCAGACAAATCCTTCACATTTTAGACATTTTCTCTGGATCTTGTTTGACTGAACACAGTACAGTGTCATTTTTAATAGAGTACACGATCCTGGGGTTACACAAACACAGAGATTGCAGAAAATGATGTACTGTAAAATCACCCCAAGGGCAGGCAGCCAGTCTGTGGTGATCTGTTTCATCACTGTTATCCATTCGTCTGTTTCATAGATAGAGATCACAAGAAAGTCTTCAATACCTTTGACACTTATCTGTGACCCTCATGAATTATTCATGAGGAAATTCAATCAGTCAGCAGGCAGGCCTTTTCAGGAGGTGTGAGGTAATATTGTCATGTTGATTCTGACTGCAGTCGGGTCAATTACACCTTTTGAGTAAGTACAGCTACCTTGCTGAGAGCCATTCGATGTCCCCTGGGTATATGTTAAGCTATTCTCTCTGTTGAGTTAAAGCTCTAAATGGTAATGATTCCTACCTTCACCTGACTTACTGATTAGTCAGCGAACAGAGCTCAGAGTAGAAGTTGTAATCATTCATCTACCTAAGTTAGGGAGAGATAAACCAAAAACGTAAGCACACAAGACCATTTATTTCTCTCTAGAATGACAGGGTTTTATGGGGCTAACCTAACGTTTGACCTGGATGAAGAGCAATAAAAGGCTTTCTCTTCGTAATGAATTATTCAAGTTGTCTTTAAATTGGTCTTTTGCAGTCTGGGGAACAATAACTTTCAGAATGAATTCATATAATGATTATGTATTGGATTGATTTGACTGTCTATGAAATTGACCCCTAACCTTATCCAAAATATACTATTGACTGTAACCAGTGCAGAAACCTCCTATTTGAGAGGCTGGTACCATCAAATGCTCAAATCCTTAATAAATACATTATAATTCATGGATGATCAAACATGTTGTTTCCTTGTTGTTTCAGCTCTTCTGTCAGTCATTCGTGGGACTTCAACCAATGATAAACATGTTTGACCTGGATGCAAAACTCAACAACACATGGCCACATATATTGCCTATCTCATAGATTTGAATACATTTGAGTGCATAATGATTTAGGCAAATGGCATCTGGCTGCCACCGAAACAACACTTTTCCCCTCTGGCTTTATTAGCCCTATGCACCATTTTTTTTTTAATTTACACTGTTTTTTCCCTTATAAATACCTGAGATATGCAATACCATAAGAAAATACTACTCTACTAAAGTGTCTGTTGTTCACTAAAGTTGTTCTGGTTGGACACTGAAATGCTCTGTTTCTAGCTATTTATCTATCTATATATCTATCATAAGGCTGAAGTTATAGCTACCCTAACTTAATTAATTATAGCATGGTGCTCTTGTTAGCATACATGAAGCTAGGATATAGTGAAAACTAGGTGAATACCATAATAGGGATAGCAGGACATGAGGGTCTCCAAACTGGAGGAAAACAATCACTGTAACTATTATGTAAACAAAAAAGTGTCCTTTAAAGTAAGATAACCTACACGTGGTTACACCCTGTATATGTCTGCCTGTAATTCATTGTATTGTATCTGTAGCATGTAGTTACAGTGATAATGTGACATAATCTGCAGCTAGTTAGCCAACTTTCAAAGCGACCCACCTCAGTCTGGGCCATGCGCCAGATTCCCCGCCATGTCTTCATATTATACAACAAACGTAATTAACTTAGGCTACCATCATATAGTTGCAGCTATACAACACAATGAATACGTTTTGCCATAAAAAAACAACCATAGAGGTTTGTTTGTTATGTTTACTTAACCAACGACATGAATGCGTAATGACGTGGGTAAGGATGCGCAGCGTCACATTAACGAATAATAGAGTCTATCATTACTTTCCCACATGAAAGTGAAACGGTACTTACTTTGGTGTTTTCCCCCGTAGTGAAGCGTGAAACAGGGCTCGCAATTAAGAAAAAAGTAGTGTATTTTTCCACGAAGTCGTCCGGGTCCCACCCAGCTAGCTAGCTACAAACCTAACGGTCCTGAGAGTGAGCCCAGACCGCTACTTGTGCTCCGCAGAAGGGCGCAGTTTGTGTCCAACTTTACTACCCGGAGAGATTTTTACATCTTTCCATGGCGTACAAAGTTGTTCCTTTTAAACAAAACACTGACTACGGTTACAACTAGAAAAAGTGTCTACAGATGGGACGATGAATGAGATGCTGCTTTAAAAAAATGCGACCCGATATTTTTCTGCCAGGCTGTTTTTCTCTCGTCGTGACCGTCGTGACCCAGCTCTTTGTCCCGTGCTGGTCTCCGGTAGTCGGCGTGGTCTGCGTGGGAGTGTGGCCGGGCAGAGGTGGAGGACGGGCCGGCACGAGAGGAGCGGAGTGAGAGGAGCAGACGGAGGGAGGAGTCAGTGAGGGGGGATAACGGAGAGGGAGGGACGCAGATGACGTCCAAAGCCCATGAGAGCATTTGTCTGACACACACGCACGCACACACACGCACGCATATTCGCATTTTGTTTCGGCTCGTTTTTACCCCCTCCCCCCCACTACAACTTTTATTCTATAGGATAATGGATAGCAAACATGTATTTTGGAAACAATCATTTTTTCCCGTTATTTAATATTTTTTTACGGATGATCACATTTTAATCTCGGGTCACTGCATTTCACCGTAGCTGACCTTTGACCTGCTTGTTGCAAACGTAGCATTATCTACTGTTGCAGCCACTGACTGTGACTCTCAGCTGAATGTATAACATACTATTTCTTTACCAATTATTTTTGTTGTAATTGTCAACCTTTTTCCCATGTAATAGTTCATATATGCTTGTCACAATGTGACTAAACATGTTAAAATACACAAACAAAGGTATTCTAAATATTTGCTTTCACATGGCAGTGTGTTTTCTTTCTGCTGTTTGCATTGCATCTGCGGGGTTTTCAGCCAAAGCAGGGGTTCAAAGGGGGTAGGAGGAAGGTTATCTGCTATCCTTGTGACCCATGAACTATATTAAAAAAAGCATGGAACTGGTTAAAGGTTGACACGCAGTACACAATGACAGAAAGTCTCACCAACCTTGAGCTCAACCCAGATAGTGACACTTTGAACAGATTCACATGCTCAAGATCAGTGAGCTTGACTCATTTGTGGCCTTAGTAATAATTAATAAAAAAATATATCATTCACAAGCGCCTTTTAAAAGATAATTCAAAAGGTTTTTCACAATTTAAAACAGGTCCCAGTAAAGTATAACACAAATAAAGTAAACAATAATATATACAACTAGGAAATCATTAGTTCACAGTGTGTTTGTAAAGTAGGATAAGGAATTGATTTGCCAGACACCAGCAGGTTCATAGGAGTTTTTGTATGACTTTGGCAGCCAGGGGTTCAACTTTTTTTTTTTTATATTACCAACTGTTGTTATTTATGAACATTTTGTCATTATAGTATTTTACTTGAAACCACCTATTAACTCCCACAAAGGGCATCTTTAGGATGTGAAGAAAACAGTTTCTGGCATTAAACTTTAAAATATGCAGGATAAAGACATTGGTACCAGTGTCCTAATCCCCGGAAGTAAGTTAGCATTTTACAACTTCTGGTTCCTTCGACAAAAACCAATGCAATTTCTCCATAGGATTTTGAAAAATAGCTCGAAATAAGGTCTGTGGTTGACACAAATTGAAGAGACAGATCACGTTTTGTTCAGCCGGATAATATCCACATGTCTACTTTTATAATTTTCGAAGCATAAATCTGATCGATAGATAGGTCACTGTGGCACTCAATATATAAATAATGTGCTGGTACAGGCTTTTACAGCTAGAAGTGTGAGACTTGTTTTTCACTTTCACGTTGTGGTATTGATGTAAGGACCTCATCTTAAAACCCACCTATTATTCTTACAATGGATGAAAGGCTGGGTTTACACACCTCCAGTTGACAACACCTTATTCAAATATGTGTATGGAACTCTGTTCTTGTTCTTTATAATACAGTAACAAACTCCACGTTTCACTTTTTAACATTGGTTTAAAGAGTCTAGCCATTACAAATAAGCACAGGGCTGAAACTGTTTTATGTGTTCATTAATTATCACATCTTCACTAATACATTAGCATGTTTTCTCTTCTGGTAAATCAAGGGAATACGTTTGAAGAGTTTACTGGAACCATCTTAGATGATAAAACGAAAACAGCATTTAATCCTGCTGATAATTAAGTAGCCTACTCCCATAAACGAATAAAGGAGATAACACACTTGGCACAACAGCTTATTATGGTGTCTGTCATTCTCAGGTTACATGCTCTCTACTTGCGCCCCCTTATGGTCAGAAGACAGATGTGCGCTCTCATTTCGGTGGCACTTGGGTGTTGAATCTTTCCAACGAAGATATGTGTGTAAAATAAATCATTACAAATGTATGACAAACACAAACACATACACACTTTACAAATCACAATGGATCATTTTGTATGATACTTTTTTATTTTAACTTAAAAAGAGAGTGGATCAAAAACAGGATTCAATAAATAAGAAATAAATATAATTGCTGTAATAATTAATACATACATTATAATTACTCGATTGCAAGAGTCTGACAGAAACAGGCCCTCAAAAGGTTTTCTCTAGAAAATTCTAAAATCAAAATATTGCAACCCATTCAAACCCCATCTCCCAATAAACAAAATAATTGATAAATTAGTAAATAAATAAAAAATAGCTCAAATATTAAAACCTCCGGAATAAAAGTGCGATCCCCCCTCCCCCGAATTTTCACCTAAAATCTAAGTATAAATTTAAAATAGGTTAGTGATTTCCCATTTTACAATTTGGAATGTAATATCCCTTTATGAGGATGATGATGTTACTAGTGGTAATAATAATGGTAATAATAACAATAATAATAAATAATAATGTCGCTGTGTCCTGTTCAGTGTTTATCTAAAGTAGTATTCTTTTTGCATTTTTCCTTGTTTTTTTTAAATGCAGCTCTTTGTAAACTAAATTATTTACAGGTCATTAGGATTTTCTCCAAAGTCTCTCTAACCTACTCATTTAGTTGTCTTTTTTTATTTTCTTTCTTTTTTTTTTATTAAGAAACATCAGCCCCTCTATATTTGTCATGGATTAGACATGGTATAGACATGTTAAAGTCTATTGTAGTGATATATCAGCATTTTTTTTATCAGTACACTTCCATACGTGCTCGGTCTGAGTTGCCTTTCTGTACTTAACACCCTGTTGGCAAACTCCACACAGACCACGCGTGGTCAAACCAAGCTCTTGGCTGTATGGGTGAAATTACTGACTCGTGTGAACCATGTGTGTTTGTCTGAGTGTCTGCAGGCGTGTGTATATGTGTGTGTGTGTGTGTGTGTGTGTGTGTGTGTGTGTGTGTGTGTGTGTGTGTGTTTGTGCACTTTATGTACATTTGTAAATGAGCCTTCCACCGTTCGAGGTTCAGAGTTAATAGCGCATGTGTAGTCGTGTGAGTGTGTGTCAGTGTGTGTGGCTGCACTCCCCGGACGCTCAAAGGTAGCAGACAGTCTGAAAGCACTATGAACCCTGGGATTCCACCTCGGCTGGACTCTGAAAGGTCACCTGTGAGAGGGACGGAAAGTGGTGGGGTAGAGGGAGTGATACATAAACAAGGAGGGAGGGACAGAGAAGGGGGAGGATATGTTAGAGAGCAGTTATAAACACACTGAAGCTCCCATGTTTCTGTCTGATCTTTACATCTTGTCAAACATGCTCCTCTCGTCAAACAAAGCTCTTTTAGGCATGACTTCTGGCAGCAAACTGCACCTTTTCGGGTGCTCCTAGCTCATCTCTGTTACACGTCGGTGAGTTAAATCAAGAAGGCATCATTCACAAAGCTCTGTCTTTCAACAGCAATAAATAAATCATGGTGCTTTAACACATACACACACAGTGTCTGGATCATGCAATTCAATACAGTGGATAACCGTTATTTGTGTTTGTGTGTGATTGAAGGTGTGTGTCTGCAGGTAGGAATGTGTGGGTGCTATTGTGAAGCGCAATATGTGTCTATGTGTGTGACCTTATAATGAGCATGTGTTGCACTATAGTGCCTTGGATCACGGCAAGCAAACACTACTACCAACATGCATTATTCTCTGGCATTTGCAATATAGAAATTCTGGGTGATCATTTTAATGTTGAAGGTGCACAGTGGTAGGTATTCACAAGGATTTGTTATGTAAAGGTTTGTCTAGAAATAGAAACAGAATCCTTTATTTAAAATGTGTGCTGCCGTGTGACAGTGCATCCAAACACTGGGTAGACAGCAGCTACACATGTTCGACTCTTTGGTAAAGGTTGGGGGTTTGTGGAGGATTTAATTGACCTCAAACCAAAGATATCCTTGATTCTCTCTTTGTTACATTTCTCCCAGAATTCCTATAGTTGAAGGCTGTTCTCTAATAAGCAAGAGGCACTTGTTTTTCCACCATAATCACATACCCTTTACCTCAAAACACGAGCTAGAAAGAGGAGGTTGGGAAGGAGAGAGGTGAAGAAAGAATTTGACAGAGAAATAAGGAAATAAGAAGAGGGAAGAAAGGGGACCGGAGGAGGAAGAGGGGTGTAGTGAAGGGAAAACACCACAAAAGCAGTGATAGGAGATGTACAAGAGACCAAAAAGAGAAAAAAGGAGCAAAAAACTAAAGTGCCACATCAAACAGTGTAACAAATCAGAATCCAGGAATATAAAACTCAGCCTTTCAGAGTATAGCTCAACAAATGCATGCTTGCTCCAAAAATATTGTGCTTAAGTCATAAAACTCAGATTTATGGTATTTTCTATTCTAACCTGAATGTGCCACTTCATAGCCATATTTGAACTTCTCTGAACTCTAATGCATAATAATTTCATGGCCGAGTGTCCAACATGGCATACTATCATCATTATATGTTGCAAATAATTATACTACCATTTTTTTTGCTGTAAACTGTAGTGCTGTTCTACATTTCTCCACTAGTCCACTGTGTTAACCTCTGGCAAACCTCTCACCAGTTCAACAAGGATTATGCACTCCTGCATTACACACAAACAGTGTAACACGGACACATATGTACACATAGATGCCCACGCTCACTACCCAAACAATTTGATCAAATAATAATGACACCAAACAGAACACTACAGAAACTGATCAAAAACAAATCTGCAAAAAATAATAAGCGTTGCTGCAGAATTGATCAGATTACTATACAATGATTAAGTGTATCAAATATCCAATTAAATCAATTGATTCTGAGTACAGTCCTGGCTATTGACAGTTATTGATCAGTATGTGCACAGGTCAATACAAAATAAATTCACAATGCACCAAACACAGTCTGTGGTCACTACAGCAACAGGACATGCAGGTCAACGCATGGCTGGTTGCTCGAGGTGACAGAACAAAAATTGCCAAGGGCAACCAACACAGGCAATCAATCGCCACAGCAACCCAAACACAGGCCAACCAATCAACTTACAACAATGCGAGAGGAAGGGGGGGTCAGGGCTTTATTGTTCACTAGGCAACCATTGCCATAGCGATGGGGTCCTCGAGAATTATGATTGGACGGAAGGATCTTGGGTGAGGTAAGTTGCCGTTTCAGGAAAAGATCAAAACAGCAGGAAAGAAAATAAATAAGATTGTGAAAGAAAATAAAAAGGAAAACAATATTTTAGTATTTTTTACTTTTCCTGAGTTGATTCAGTTGTTGATCATATGAGAAACCCAATGTATATTCACTGAAATGTCATGTTAAGCTTTTTATTCTTAACTTTGTACCATCAATTAGCATTGCAGTGTCAAAGATAACGCTACCGTCTCCACGTTTTTTTCTCTACCCTCATTTCATCCTCCTGTTCCCCAACATACAACACCTCACTTCTCCTAATGTCATGTTACCTCCTCATCACCACCTCACCTCTCATTAATTCTTCTTCCTCCTCTCAGTTGTCACTCAATATGGGCGGTTGGCATCTTTGGGCCTTTTGAGCTGCACTTTCAGTCTCTTCATGCCAATCTGGAAACCATTCATGGCTTGGATGGCGGCCTGAGCACTAGCTGGGTTATCAAAACTCACAAATCCTGGAAAGAAAGAAAATTAAGAGTTGTTATATAAGGTGAAACAGACAACGTTTCCCTCACTAGCGTTTCCAAGTGGTAAAGTTATTGGTAGACACACAGATTGCTTTCAGTCTTCCTCAGAGCCTAGCAACTATGAACAACAGTAGACATGCTGCATTTTTTTTACGAGTTGTTGTTCTGACTTTGGGGGCTTCATGGGAATTTCCCCAGTGTGTTACAAACTTTTATGATTATTCCGACAACACATAAATGCTGCACAAATGATATATGCCCCTATGTTAACAAGGTAAGATATTTTGTATATCAGCCCCGTAATGCAGACCCTCTCTAAAATATAATGGGTTCTTCTTTGCCTGTGCTACATTCTTCTACAAAGTTCTATGAAAATCAGGCCAGTAATTTTTCCGGAACTGAGCCCAAAACATAACCAATGGGCAGATATGATAAAAAAGTACTTCCTAATGAGGTTGAAGCAAAAATGTTCCCCTTAATTGAACCTTTTCTACACCATGCCTTTGTCTTACTAGGATATTAAAAAAAACCAGACACAATGTCTCATTCGCCACAAAGTCACCCCGTCTTTTTCACCCGTCCTTTTCCTTTCTTCGCTCTCCCCATTTCCCTCCCTCCCTCTTTCTTCCCGTCTGTGAGTCTCACCGAAGCATTTGCTCTGGTTGGTGGCTCGGTCCACAAACACCTTAGCTGAGATGACATTGCCAAAGGGCAGGAACATCTGCAGCATCTCAGAGTCGCTGAACTCCTGGGGCAGGTGGTAGATGAAGATGTTACAGCCCTCTGGACCTGAAACACACACATTAGGCAGTGTGATCAATTATCTGTGAAAACCTGGAGATAAACAATTTAAGATTAGATCACTGGAGAGAGGGGTGTGGCGGCAGACAGACAGGAAGTCACATCACCTTCTCTCTGCTGCTGTTGCTGGGGCTGCTGGTGTTGCTGGGCAACCATTGTTGGCTGCTGGGGGAACGGCTGGCCGACCAATCCGTAGGCAGCAGGATACGCCGCTATTGGGAGAGACAGAAACAAAATCTTATTGGATGAACACAACAGGTGGCAACATAGCAGTGTCCAATAGAATCATTTTGTTTGAACTGAAACATCTCCTGCTGAAGGTGAAAACTATTAAATGTAACACTTGAACAGAGCGAGACACAACAACAGTGACATTGTTGGTCTGAGTCTGGTAGGCAAGCATTACAGACCCAACTTAAGTAGGAGACATGTATGCGGATGGTGTAAAGGTAACATTGAATGTATTACATTATTACCAGTCTGTCTTCTGTGACACTCAAATCAGATGAATCATAACAGAATTAATTCAACAAGTTGCCCTTGAAACACTTCCATCTTTCAGACGATGGCGGTCAAACGGAAAGCAGACACCCCATCGTCTTTGTTCCCTATTTACATGCATCCTGAATTAACCTACTGCATGAGCTGAGCCGCACATGTAGACTGAGTTCTGATGATTATACAATTTGGTGGGCATAAGATATGGGATGAACTTTGATATGTTATATTAAGCTTTGCCAAATTTGTCTCATAACTGAATCTGAAGTTATTTACTTTCTTTTTGCATTTTACTTCTATCCAGACACCGCCCCAACCCACAGTGAGAAGGTTTCACTCAACAAGCTTCATCTAAACATTTGTGTCACCTGTTTGTAGACTTACACCAACCTGTGTAGTGTTGCATGCCTGCATACGCCTGCTGCAGGGGGTCCAGGGTCGCAACTGGACTCTGAGCTGGAGGGCCGGGGAAAAAAACTATCAGAAAGCAAAAAATACAACCAATGTCCTCTTAAATATCCGATTCCTCTTAATTGAATGTGTGAAATCAAATTACATATACTTCTGTATGCTTTTTAGATTTTATTAAAATGTTTTACTATTACGGTCCATTCTATTTATGAGACTCTGTTCTTCCAAGTGTTGTAGCCCCAGTTAGGATGTTCTTGTTGTGCTGGTCGAGGTCACCTTTTATTACCCCAGAAAACACATTGAAGAAGGGCGTCTTGCCTGAAATGTCTGTATTGGCATATTAAAAAGTGGAATTGGAGTGCTGTCCTAGTCTTTTTTTTTTATACTCGACATTAAGGATCCAGCAGCAAGTCCTCAAGGTCTAATCCTTAGTAGATTGTGCAGTGTTTCATTTGAGGTCCAATATATATAAAACATTTGGCCGGGCCTTTAACACACATATTGAGCCCAACCCTCCGACAACCCCATTCAGTCTCCCACAAACCCCATGCATGCCCACTACCACACAGCATGTCATCACATGTACACTCTTGGCCAGGTGTGCTGCTCTTATACAGGAACACATGCATCCCTTTTGACATAAGACAGATGAATACAGGAAATCTCGCAATGTATGAAGTTTGAACAATGATTATTCTAAATAAAAGAAGACCTTAAGGCATTTCAAAGGACCTGGGTTCTCCTTAGAATATGGTTCATACAGCTTTCAAAATTCAAGCACTTTTTTCTTTACCAAAATGTCCAGACTCCGCATTTCCAAACCGTCAAAACGTTATATTATAAACAGATATTATAAAAAGCCTCACTATTTATGTTGACTTTAACGTTGTAATACCTGTTGGAGGGACTACGACTTTGAGAGTAATCCAATTCTCCATGCTTCACTTTATTAATTGGTTTAATTATTTGTCTGTTACTTTTGTAGCTTTATCAATGGTTTCTATTTCCATTTCTTTTTTACGTG